TGCTACGCGACGTGCCGCTGCGACGCGCTCTAGCGCGCCGGCCCTCCCGGACCACAAGGGCCCGGGGACGGCGGGCGAGACGTGCCACAAGAAGAAGTACGCGAACATCTGCGCGTGGAGCCTCAAGAAGGAGAAGTGCCGGAACGCCAAGTGCGAGGAGATCGACGACGAGCGCGACTGCACGTCCGAGGGCGCGCGGAAGAGGGGCTGCGCGTGGAACATCGAGGAGAAGGCGTGCGTCAAGGACGCCGGCTCCGAGAGCGGCGCCTTCGGCGACGGCGGCGGCTCCTTCGACTCCGCGTGCGCGGACTCGACGACGTGGCACAAGAAAAACAAAGACAAGCAGAACTGCGCCTGGGTCGGCAAGAAGGCGGCGAAGCGCTGCAAGGCCAAGGTCAAGTCCGAGGACGGCGTCGAGGCCAGCGACGCCTGCCCCGTGGCGTGCGGCACCTGCGATCCGGCGGATGACGAGATCGCCGCGCTCAAGGCCGAGAACGCCGCGCTCACGGCCGAGCTTGCGGACGCGGTCGCGGACAAGGCCGCGGCTCAGGGCAACGTGACCGCGCTCGAGGCCGACCTCGCGGACGCGGTCGCGGACAAGGCCGCGGCTCAGGGCAACGTGACCGCGCTCGAGGCCGAGAACGCCGCGCTCACGGCCGAGCTCGCGGACGCGGTCGTGGACAAGGCCGCGGCTCAGGGCAACGTGACCACGCTCGAGGACGAGCTTGCGGACGCGGTCGCGGACAAGGCCGCGGCTCACGGCAACCTGACCCGCTCGAGGCCGAGAACGCCGCGCTCACGGCCGAGCTCGCGGACGCGGTCGCGGACAAGGCCGCGGCTCAGGGCAACGTGACCACGCTCGAGGACGAGCTCGCGGACGCGGTCGCGGACAAGGCCGCGGCTCAGGGCAACCTGACCACGCTCGAGGCCGAGAACGCCGCGCTCACGGCCGAGCTCGAGACCAGCGCCGCCGAGCTCGCGGAGGCGGCCGGGGCGAAGGAGATCTGCGACGCGGCCAATTCTGCGCTCGAGGACGAGATCGCCACGCTCGAGGAAGCGAACGCCATCGGGGCGGGCTGCCCGACGCCAGCGCCGACGCCCGCGCCGACGCTTCCGCCAACGTCCTCGACGCCCGCGCCGTCGGTATCGCCGTCGGCGTCGCCGACGCCCGCGCCGACGTCCGAGCCGTCGGCGTCGCCAACGCCCGCGCCGACGCTTGCGCCGACGCCCGCGCCGACGCTTGCGCCGACGCTCGCGCCGACGCTTGCGCCGACCCTCGCGCCCACGGTCGCGCCCACGGCGGCACCGACGGCCGCGCCCACCACAGCCGCGCCGACGCCCGCGCCGACGTCCGAGCCGTCGGTGTCGCCGACGCCCGCGCCGACGCTTGCGCCGACGCCCGCGCCGACGCTTGCGCCGACGCTCGCGCCGACGCTTGCGCCGACCCTCGCGCCCACGCTCGCGCCCACGGCGGCACCGACGCTCGCGCCCACGGCCGCGCCCACGGCCGCGCCCACGGAGGCGCCGACGCTCGCGCCCACGGCGGCGCCGACGCTCGCGCCCACGGCCGCGCCGACGTTCGCGCCGACTGCCGCGCCCACGGCGGCGCCGACGCTCGCGCCCACGGCCGCGCCGACGTTCGCGCCGACCCCTGCCGCGCCCACGGGGTCGCCGACCCCCCCGCCCGCGCCCACGGCCGCGCCGACGTTCGCGCCCACGGTCACGTTCGCGCCCACGGTCACGTTCGCGCCGACGCAGCATCAGTTCACGGACGGGGATTCCGAAGAGGACGGGAGCCTCCGGCAGGCGGTGAAGGCCTGGGATGATGGCGAAGACTGGCCCCTGACCAACCACGGCCCCATCGAGTACTGGGACACGTCCAAGGTCACGAACATGGCGAGTCTTTTCGCCGACCTCTGCCAGACCGACTATTATGAGTACGCCTACTATGTGACCTCGTGCCCGTTTGACGAGGAGATCGGCGACTGGGACACGTCGTCCGTGACGACCATGGACGCGGCGTTCAAGGGCGCGATACAGTTCAACGGCGACATCCAGTGTCGCTCCGTTGGTGCCTACGTAGGCGCCTACGCGCCTACGTAGTCTCGTCCGGAACCTACGGACCTATGACCTTATGCGTATTTGTAGGCGACATCGGCGCCTGGGACACGTCGATGGTGTTATTGATGTCCGAGATGTTTCACAACGCCTTGGACTTCAATAAGTACATCGGCGATTGGGACACCTCGTCGGTCGCGGCGCGGTGATTCGAGTGTGTTTCCGCGCGGCTCGTCCGGTCGATCCCCGCTCCGCGGTCTCGACGTTTTGAGAGTGGCGCCCCTGCGCGCGCCGCGGCGGACGAACCAACACGCGCCCAGGTCCGTCACGTCCATGGAATGGATGTTTGGCGAAGACGTGGGCTCACATATGGGCTCCCCCAGATTCGACCAAGCCATCGGCGGCTGGGACACCTCGGCCGTGAAGACCCGTGTGGAAATCAACCAGTGGTTCGGGAGGTCGAATACGCGCGCATTGAAGTCGGGTTGAATATTTGATTTCCACGCAGGTGAAAACCATGAAAGAAATGTTCAAGGACGCTGACAAATTTAACCAGCCCATCGGAAGCTGGGACGTGTCGTCGGTGACGATCAGCGTCCTGTGACGATTTTCGAGAGACTTTGACCGGGAAAACGAAGAGAAATCGGTTACCGACATGCTTGGTAGGTGACGAGCTTTAACAGCATGTTCTACTACGCTAAGGATTTCGACCAGATTCTCAACGACTGGGATCCGTCAAGCATGACGGACTGGGAGCAGATGACGCGCCCGCCGGCGCAGGTTCGGCCGTTCCGCTCCCGGGGGCGCGACGCCGCCGTCCCGTCGCAGGTACAAGGCCGGTTTCACGACGTGCTTCGACTGGTGGGAGACCACCATGGGCACCCCATTGGACAGTGAGGTTTGCGGCTAGCGCCGGACGCCACGACGCGGGTCGCGCCTCTGCCGCCGGCCGACGGCGTTTGTTTATATCCCCCCCCCCGCGCGACCGGGCCGTCCCGCGCGAGTTCGTGTGCGTATAATGGCATCTGTCCCACCCGCGCGGCGTCGAGGCGCGAGTCTCGAGAGCGTGGAGATGCCCCCACGAGCGCCCGCGGGGAGGGCCGCGGCGACGATCGCGGGGGGCTCGACGGCGCGCCGCCCGCGGAGCTCGCCGTCGCGGGGCGCGCCCCGCGGCGCTCGAGCGGGCCCTTCGACGACGGCGCTCGACGCCGGAGCGTGCCCCTCCGCTCTTACGTGAGCGCGTTGCCCGTGTAGGTGCCCGCCGGGGGCCGGTAGCAGACGGGGAGCGACTTGACCTGGACCGCGTTGAACGCGTACTTGTCCTGGCCCGTGTTGAGCAGCAGGTTCCTGCGGCGGACGCCGTGGGCCCGGAGGAGCTTGCAGAGCATGCGCTCGTCGAAGACGCGGAGGTCGCGGCTCAGCGCGCGCGTCTGCTCCAGGGTCACGGCCATGGCCGTGCGGTCCTTGCCCGACTTGCAGCAGATCGCGTGGGAGCCCGCGAGGTCGCGGAGCAGGTCGCTGCTGTGGAGGAGCACGTGCACGTTCTTGCCCGGCGTGCCGTCGGCGACGGCCGGCGCGACGGCGCCGCGGAGCGCCGCGGCCCAGGCCGCGAGCTCCGCGTCGGCCGCGGCCGCGGCGGCCGCGTCGCCGAGCGCGAGCTCGCGCGATATCGCGCCCGCGCGCGCGACGTGCGCCTCGAGCGCCGCGAGGCCCGCGGCGTTGGCGCAGGCCTGGGCCGCGCGGTCGCCGGCCATCTGCAGGTTGCACACCGTCTGCCACTCGTTGATGCCTGTGTGGAATTCAACCACTGGTTTGGGTGGTCCTGACCAAACTTCAGAATTCTCTAGCTCGGTCAAATCGAAGTCGATTCGGCTGATTTTTGGACGAATCGATTGCTCTCGTCGAGTTCTCGAAGCACAGCCGAAGAGATTGCGTCGAAACTGTCGCATACGCTCACATTGAAGTCGGGTTGAAGATTTGAATTCCACACAGGTTGATGCCCTGGCTGAAGAGCACCGCGTCGAGGCCGCAGCTCCACGCGGCCGCGCCCGGCGGGCCCGCGGCGCGGCAGGCCGCGAGGAGCGGGCCGTCGACGCGCCGCTCGACGAGCAGCGCGCCGCCGCCGCCCGGCCGCCGCGACACGGCCCAGTCGCCCGCGGCGTTGTCCGCTTCCGCGCCGCGCGGTCGGTCGACGAAGGCGAACGTGAGCGAGTCCATCCACTCCGTCGCCGCCACGAGGTCCTCGAGCATGCCGAGCTCGTCGCCGTGCGTGCTTAGGAGGCACTCGACGCCCAGCAGCAGCGCCCCGCCGCCGCCCGCGCCCGCGAGCGCGCGGCGGAGCGCGCGCGCGTGCCGCGGCGACCCCTCGGCCGCGCAGCGCAGCACGGCCTCGACGTGGGCCGCGGCGACGGCCAGGGCCTGGCCGCAGACGACGTCGACGCGCTCCGCGAGCTTCGCGCGCCGCCGGAAGTGGCGCGCCGCGGACGGCCGGTCGTCGCCCGCGCGGCCCGGCGGCCGGCCGCCGCCGGCGTCCGCGGCCTCGCGCGACGGCCGCCGGTCGGCCTCGATGTGGCTCCCCGCGCGGCGGCTCCGGTCGCGCCGCTCCTCGCACCGCGTCGCCGCGGCGTCGCACGCGGCGAGCGTCGCCGCGTCCAGACCGCCGTGCGCCGACAGGGCGAGGAGCCGCGCGAGCCGCGACGCGCGGAGCGCGCGCCGCCGCGTCGACGAGGCGGCCGCGTCGCCGCCGTCGACGTAGGCCTCGCTCCGGTCCACCAGTTTCTGGAGGCCGCCGTCGCGGAAGCCCAGGTGCTTCGCGTGCGCCGCGGTGGCCCCGAACGTCACCTGGAAAGGGCGAACGTCGCTTCGACGTGGGCGCGCCGCGCGCGCGCGTTCCGGGACAAGCACGCGACCGTTCCGAGCGATGATCGCTCGTCGAAAAATCAGCGGAAACGAGATCGGAGCGTTCGGAATGTCGCGCCCGTGTCCCGCGCCGGACGTCACCGTCGAGTGCCAGAGCTCGGGCCCGTCGCCCGTGCGCGGCGGCGCTAGAGCCGGTGATCCGGGCACGCTGTGGCGCCGGTCGAGGCGGCTCCAGGTAACGGGGCTCTGGGGGTCGCCGCCGTCGAGCCTGCGTGCGAATCAACCGCCGGTTTGCGACGTCCCGGCCGAACGTCTCGGTCGCATCGACTTCGATTCGGCTAATTTTTGGACGAAGCGATGGCTCTCGAAGCACGGCCGAAGCGCTCGCGTCGAAACTGCTCACGTTGAAGTCGGGTTGAAGATTCGACGTCCGCGCGGCGTCGTGCGGGTGGTCCGGCTGGCGCCGCGCGCGGAGCTGGTGCCAGTTGAGGTTCGTCGGCAGGAACTGGAGCGCCGCGTCCTTCTTGAGGGTCGACCGCTTGAGGCGGTGGCCGCCCCGGGCCAGCGGGTTCTCGACGGCCGCGACGCCGCCGGGCGACTCCGGGAACGGCGCGGCGACGCGCAGGTCGAGCGCGCGCGCGCGGCCGCTCGCGTAGACGTCGTCGGCGTGCGCCGCCTGGGCCTCGAGCTCGTCGCGCATGGCCGCGAGCTGGTCCGCGATGGCCTCGATCTTCGTGGCCGCGAAGTCGAGCTCGCGGCTCCGCATGGACGCCTGCGCGGCACTCGAATCTTCGACCCGACGTCAACGCGAGCGTCATCGAACGGTGTGGACGAGACTCTTCAAAAAGAGCAATCGAGTCGTCCAAAAATCACTCGAATCGACTTCGAGCTCGAGAATATCTAAAGTTTGGCCCCGACGTCCGAGCTCGCCGGTCGATTTCCCCGCGGCCGCCCGCGGTGTCGTCCTCGTCGCGGTCGAGGTGGGAGAAGCGCGCCGCCGCCGCGTCGTCGTCGCTCCGGTGGCGCCGCTCGGCGGCGTCGCCCGCGGCGAGGCGCGCCTTGCGCCGCAGCGTCGCCACGGCGCTCCGCTTCTCGTCGAGCGCGGCGCCGACGGCCGCCGCGGCCGCGTCGCGGAGCGCGCGGCGCTCCGCCGCCAGCAGCCCCAGCAGCGCCGCCGGCAGGTCGCCGGCGGCCGCGGGCACGGCGATGGTCTCCGCGGCGACGACGTGGCCGTAGCGGACGCCCGCGCCGTCGCGCTCCGCCGACCGCAGGTGGTAGTGGCGCCGCGCGTAGGGCGCGGCGCCGCCGCCGCCCGCGAAGAGGCCCGCGCCGTCGACGCCGCAGAGCAGCAGCCGCCCGGACGTCGCCGCGGGCGACGCGCGGCGCGCGGGCCGCCGCGGCTCCGCGGGCCGGTACGCGACGGACCTGTGTGGAAATCAAATCTTCAAACCGACTTCAATGTACGCATATTTGAATGTTTCGACACAAGCTCTTCGGCTGTACTTCGAGAACTTGACGAGAGAAATCGACGCGTCCAAAAATCAGCCGAATCGACGTCGATTTGACCGAGCTAGAGAATTTCAAAGTTTGGTCAGGACGTCCCAAACCAGTGGTTGATTTCCACACCGCGACGGACCCGCGCGAGGGGGCCGCGAGCGCGTTCGCGGTGCCGCTCGACGAGCTCGCCGTCTCCGACACGTCCTCGTCGTCGTCGGGCTGGGCCTGCTCCTCGCGGTGCAGGGGCACGTCGAGCACGGCGCCGCGGGACCGGCCCGCGAGCGCCGACGCCTCCGCGCCGTCGAGCCGCGTCCGAAAGAGCCGCCGGTGCGACGCGAGCGGCGCCGCGTGGCCGTGCTTCATGTAGACCGCGAAGCCGCAGGGCCCCTCCAGCACCGACGCCGGGAGCAGCACGGAGAAGTGGCGGACGACGTCGAGGCCGCCGCGCGGGTCGCTCGACTCGGACGCGAACGCGCCCGACGCGCCCGCCTTGACGACCTCCGTCCGCGCGACCTCGTCCCAGGCCTCGTCGTCGCAGCGGAAGGCGACGACGAAGAGGCCGTCCTCGTCCATGCGGTCCACGCGCGCGCCCTTGAGGTGGAGCGTCGCCTGGAGGCCCGTCGCGGCGCCCGCGCGGAGCTCGGACGTGCCGCCGCGCCGCACGGCGGCCTCGATCTTCTCCGGCGTGATGGCGCAGGGCAGGGGCGGCGCGGGGCCGTCGTCGTCGTCGTCGTCGTCGTCGTCGAGGTCGACGGCCGCGAGGCCCTCGGGCGCCGGCGGCGCGGAAGGCTCGGACGGCCGCGCGTCCTCGCGCGTCGCGTGCGCGATCGCGGACCGCAGGGCGTCGACCCAGCGGTCGCGGTCCGCGGGGGACCGCGCCTGGAGCCGCATGGTCTGCTGCTTCAGCGCGCAGCGGACCTGGCGAGGGACGGTCTCGGGCCTCTTTCCCGCGAAGAAGAAAAAGGGACGCGGCGCTTCGGACGCTAAAGGGCGCGTAGCCCGGCCGCGCGGGCTCGTCGTGGGGCGACGCGCCGGCGACGCTCGCGACGCTCGCGCCGCAGACGAGGACGACCTCGCCGAGGAGCTTCAGCGTCTTCGGGCCGTCGTAGTAGGCCAGGCGGACCGCGTCGCGCCGGAGCACGAAGAAGCGCTCCTTCCAGTTCTTGCGCCAGCTGCCCTGCTTGAGCAGCACGCCGTCGAGGCGCACGTCGAGCGTCGTGAAGGTCTTGGACGTCGACACCGCGTCGTTGGAGACGGACTGGCGGCGCCCGACGAACCAGCCCGCGATGGTCCTACGATGGGGACGGTTCCCGCCGGAAACCGTGGAAATCGCGGCGCCGGGCGCCCGTGCGAAGACTGCGTCGTGCGGTAGACGCGGTGGTACCTGCGCCGGGACGGCGGCGTCGCGCCCCCGGGAGCGGAACGGCCGCTCGTGCGCCGGCGCGGCGCTGCTCCGCGGTCCACTCGCCGTTGACGCTGACGTTCATTTGCGTGCGTTGTCGCGCTCTTGTCGCTTCGTGCTTACACCGTGGACGTGGTGGGTCGCGGCGCGCGGGCGGCTTCCCCGAGGAACTGTCGAACCGAGAAACGGTGCGACGACGGTGATAGTGTCACGGCGCGAACGTGTGAACGTGCGCGCGGCGAGGAAAGTGATGTAGGAGACGACGGCGCACCGGGCGCTCTAGCGCGCGCCGGGGGATGTGCCTGCCCGGTCGATGACCTTTCGGGGGCTGGCGCTCTCCATGATCATCGTCGACTCGGACCCAGAGGCAACGTCGGCCGGCTGGGCAGCGCATCTAACTACTAGGCCTCAGCTCATCTGAAGAGGTTGTGGACGGGCTCCACTACTGCCCGCGCGCGCCGCGCCGCATCGACCGCCGCCCCCGGCCGCTCGGGGCGCCCCCGCCCCCCGCACGCCTCAGCTCAGAGGCTTGTGGACGCCGGGCTCCAGTACTGCCCGCGCGCGCCTCTCCACCTCGCTCATCTACCCCCGGCCTCGGGGCGCCCCCGCCCCCCGCACGCCTGCCACCCTGGCGGTGCAGTTCACGTCGAACCCCATGTTTCAGCAGATGGCCGTCGTGATGCCGCCGGGCGTGATGCCCGGCCAGATCATGCAGGTGCAGACGCCCGCCGGCATCGTCCAGGTCCAGGCCCCCGCGGGCGTGCCCCCCGGCGGCCAGTTCGTCATCAACGTGCCCGCGGCGCGGGCCGCGGCGCCGGTCATGCGCCACGACCGGGGCAACGCGGGCGCCGCCCAGATGCGACAGACGATCGCGCAGCAGCAGTACCAGGCGCCGCCGCGGTCCCTGCCGACGCCGGCGCAGCGGCCCGGGGGCTACGCGCCGCCGCCGCCGCGGCAGCAGTACCAGCCCCCGCCGCCCGTGCGCCAGCAGCCCCAGTACTCGGGAAAACTCGCGAACACGGGCTCGCCGGTGGGCCGGTCCTTGGGCGCCGCGCCCTGCAACGAGAACTGCTGGAAGTGCGTCTGCGGCTGCTACAGCCCCTGCTGCTGCCTGTGCCTCACGCAGAAGGTCGCCCAGGTGCGCACGGGCGAGGTCGGCGTCGTCGAGTCCTTCGGCAAGTACCAGCGGCTCGCGGAGCCGGGCGAGAACCTGCTCTACGCGCCCCTGGGCTCCCTCGTGGAGTTCGAGAAGATCGCGCGGAAGATGACCATGCGCATCGTCGAGACCCGGGTGACCGCGAACACGAAGACGGAGGACAACGTCTTCGTGACCATCGACGTCACGATCCTCTACAAGATCCCGGACGTGTCCAAGGTCCGCGACGCGGCCTACAAGCTCGACAACGTGCCCACGCAGCTCCAGGACTACGTCGAGTCGACGATCCGGACCCTCGTGTCCAAGGTGAAGATCGACGACGTTTTTACGCTCGGCAAGGAGCTGCGGAAGGCGGTGCTGGACGAGGCCGCGGCGAAGATGCTCGAGTTCGGCTACGAGATCGTGGACACGCTCGTGACGGGCATCGAGCCCGAGCCCAAGGTGAAGGCCTCCATGAACCAGATCAACCTCGAGGCGCGCATGAAGCTGGCGCAGGTCAACGCGGCCGAGGCGCAGAAGGCCATCGACATCAAGCGCGCCGAGGGCCGCGCCGAGGCCAAGCACCTCGACGGCGTCGGCCTCGCGCGCATGCGCGGCGCCATGATCGACGGCTTCGCGCGCTCCGTGTCGACGCTCAACTTCGCCGACGACGACAAGTTCAGCGGCGACGCGACGCAGCTCCTGCTGACGACGCAGTACCTCGACATGCTCGAGGCCCTCGGCCGCGACGACGCCGGCGGCACGACGAAGCTCTTCCTGCCGACGGCCATGACCGCCGTCGACGACATGCGGTCCCGGCTCGCGACGTTCAGCAAGGCGTTCGAGTGACCCGCGCGCGTTAACGGCCCCGGTGTGCGACACTTAGTGGAGCCAGGCGACGTCGGGGAAGACCACCGGCAGGATGAAGGACAGCACGAGCAATCCGAGGATCGCCGTGCGGAGGTTGTAGCCGATGGACAGCTTCGCGGCGAGCACCGCGGCGGGGCCCTCGGCGACGTTCACGAGCTCGCAGTCGAACTCGAGGTCCGCGTTCGGCGGGATCATGCCGCTGCCCGAGCCGAACTCGCCGTAGGCCAGCGCCGCCGGGCAGCGCAGCACGCGCTTGCCGCCGACGCTCATGGAAGCGATGCCCTCGTCCCACGCGGGGATCACGCTGCCCTCGCCGAGGACGAACTTGATGGGCCCCTTGCCCTTGCTGCTGTCGAAGACGCGCCCGGACGACATGAGCCGGCCCTCGTAGTTGACCGTCGCGACGCAGCCGTCCGACGCGGCCTCGCCGCCGCCGACGACCTCGTCCTTGTATTTCAAGCCGGAGAGCGTCACCGTGAAGCCGTCGGTCTCGCTCGCCGCGGCGTCGGCGGCCTCCGATCGCAGCGGTGCGACGCGCGCGCGCGTCGTCGGCGCGACGAAGGCATCGGCGGCGGCGCACAGCAGCGAGATCGCAGCGAGAATCTTAGCTGCCATCGTCAAGTTTTTACCCTGCCCACGCGGTCGACCTTGCCCTTTGGGAGCTGAGGCGCTCGGCTCGGAGAGCGGCCGCCGCGACAGCGCGCGCGCGGCGCCCCCGGGGAGTGGGGCCGCGCGCTCCCGCATGTGCCTCGGGACCGTCCGTGGCCAGGCCACTGCGAAGACGCCGCGCGCGAATCGGTCCGGGCGTCGTCGAAAACGCAACGGCCTCGTCGGAGCGTTCTCTCGAGACGGCTGGCGCGTGTTGGACGTGTTCCGGACCTCGCTGGCCTGGTTTCTCCGGAGGAAGTGCGGAGAGGGTTGCTATGAAGAACATGTCTCGCGAAACCAGGCCAGATGTACCGTCGGACCACCCTACGGCCTCGGTTCCTCGATTCTCATCGATTGGCGGCGGTCTTTCCGAGCCAGTGTGCGGCGCCGCGACGCCCCTGGACGTCCAGAGCGGTTCCGATGCCCTCTCACGACCGATCACCGGGGCTCCGCTGGCCCGCGCGTCAGGTGAACGCGGCACTCGACAGCTACAGCTTGGGCGCCTCCTGCCAGCGCCTCGAAAACGACACCAACACGGTCTACAGCGACGACGCGCCCACGAACGCGGACTGGCGCTGTCGTTGCGTCGAGACATCTTGTCTCGACTCCAGAAGACGCTCGGCCATCGAAACGGTGCTCTGCGCGCCTGTTTTCCTGCCGCTGGTGCCTCGCCAGTACACCCTAGCCGTACTAAACCAGTACAAACGCGTCGTATACGGCCGTATATACTCGCTTCGGCGCCCCGCTCGACCGCCCGGGGCCCGCCCGGACTCACCGGGCCAGCGTGGACGTGCGTGGCACCCGCCGCCGTCGGGTGGACGCGCGTACGTGGCGCTCGCGCACGCCGGAAATCTCCAAAAACCGACATTTTCGGCCATAACTTGTGCCAATCGATGACCTAGCATGATCGGCTGCGGTTCCGGAGCCCCAGATAAACGTCCATCACGATGAGACAAGCAGGGGGTCCGCGGTCGAGGTGCCCAAAATCGTCGATTTTCCAGTGGCCAGTGCACCGATCAAAACTCAGATTCTGATAGCCTGGATTTAAAAGTCAACATTTTTGTTGAACTTCAGCACTTTTGTTGAAGTTAAATCTTGCGATTTCGCGACCCGAACCAGCGACCGCGCGCAAAAAGCCATCGCAAACGTGCAATTAACGCGCGAATATCATCAAACTTGCTTTGATACGACCATAACCCAATTTTGGCCGTGATTTCAGCCCGCGGACCGCCGCGACACCGCGCCCGCGCGCGCGGTCGACGTACAGCCTCTATGGACGACTAATGACTCTGGCTCCGCCGGCCGGAATTCGATGATTGATCTTTATTAATTAATTTCCTACGGGTGCACCTAGATGTACGTTGATCGGGGCACTGCCAGTGGCGTGGGCAGGGTAAAGTTTTGGGAGCTCCTGCAGGCCTGTGTGCCAGGCTGTGGCAACACCGCCTCGCGCCGCGCCCGACGCGCGCGCACCCGACCGCCCCGCGCCCGCGCCGCGCAACCGCCGCGCCACCACTAGAAGATGGACATCTCCGTCGAGGACGAGCGGGACCCGGAGAAGATGCGGCAGATCTTGGCGCGCATGACCCCGGGCGAGGAGGACCGCTTCGAGCACTACCGGCGGAGCCGCTTCAACCGCACGGGCATCTCGCAGATCATGCGGCGTTCCCTCGCCGACGACGCGCGCGTCGACGAGAACAGCGCCGTCGTCGTCGCGGCGCTCGCGAAGATGTTCGTCGGCGACCTCGTGTCGGCCGCGCGGACCACGCGGGCCGCGCGCGGCGGCGAGGAGGGCGAGCCCATCGGCCCGGCGGAGTTCGCCGCCGCCGCGCGCACGCTCCAGCTCCAGGACCGGCCCGTCGTCGGCGACCACAAGCGGCCCCGGCTCAACGGGCCGCCGGTGATCACGAAGGGCGAGCTCCTCTCCTAAGTTCGGCGTTTTCAAAAAGGGACGCGGTCGCGTTCGCACGTGGGAGCGCGCGCGGCGCCGGCCACGTCCGTGCCATGCTCCGCGCCGTCGACGCGGGGACCGCGTCCATCCGTCGAACGGCACCATCGACCTCGTTGCCGGCAAAGATTTTTCTCATTTTTTTGAGTGCCGCCCTTTCTATCATGACAGCCTGAGTCTGGTGGCAGCCCCGGCTTCATCAGATCGTGGGAATACGCGCCTCGGGGCGAGCGGTCGACGTCGTCTACCGCCCTTTCATGTACCGGTACTGCGCCACCTTCTGCGCGCGCCCGGCGTCGCGGCGCGGGACGCCCCGAGCGCCCGCGTGTCCTTTTTGCCTTCCGGCCCCGTCCCACGCGCGCTCCGCAGGCGGTCTCACGGAGGCGCTCAGTAACTTCGGCAACTGCTGCGGCCCCGTGCCCTGCCTCCTGCTCAAGAGCAACGTCGAGGAGAAGGTCGAGGCCAAGGAGCTCGCGGACGAGTTTCTCTCGGAGGACGAGGACGAGGAGGCGTAGGCCATGTCGTCCTGGCTGAGCTGCGTGGGCACGGAGTGCCTCAACTGCAACCTGACCGACGACCCCGACGAGATGGACCCCTTCGACTCCCTGCGGCTCTACGCGCGCGTCCACACCGGGGCCGCAAAAAGGATGCGACGTGCCCAACTTCAAAGGCTCCGATCTCGGCCGGTTTCCGCTGATTTTCGGACGAGCGGTCATCTCCCGGAGCGCTGTCGAAGCGTGGATGCGTGTCTCCCGAACGCGCGCGCGCGGAACAAATCAGTCGCGGCCCAGGTCCACCTCGGCGCGCCGGACCTCGACGACGGCGACGACGTCCCGACGGGCAACGTGCGGAACCTGACGGACGACGAGTTCAAGAGCGTGTTCAAGCACACCATCGAGCGCCGGGGCTGGCCCGTGCTCAAGTACGGCAAGGGCAAGGCGCTGAAGCGCTGCCTCAAGGTCGAGGGCGCGGGCGACGACGCGCACCTGTCGTGGGGGTCCAAGAAGGAGGGCGCGGCGACGAAGCAGGTCAAGGTCGCCGAGATCCACGACGTCGTCAACGCGGCCTTCGACGACGCGCCGCCGAACATGGACCCGGCCTGCATGCTCTGCTTCAACATCTCCAACCGCGCTGGCCTCAAGATCATCGCCCACTCGAAGACGGACGCGACGGTCCTCATCCACGGCTTCAAGCTCCTCACGGAGCCCAAGAACGCCGACATCGACCAGATCCGCGCCAAGGCCATCATGGTGTGACCCCAAGGGCGCCGCCGCCGTAGTCTAAACCCCTGTCCCCGACGTCGCGACTTCAACGAATCGATGGTGAACTGCAATATGCAGCCGTGAGCGAGCAATGGCTTTGCCACAGCTCCATAACTTGGCACATAAGAAGCCAATGGGCGCGTTCGCCGCCGCTCCATAAAAGAAGCGCGAATGGCCGCCTCGGCCGAGGCGATCCACGCGCTGGCGAACGAGATCTGCGTCGCCGCGTCGACGCTCCACGGCGCCGGCGTCGACGCGGCGACGCTGACGGCGGCGAACGCGCGCCTCGTGGCCCTCTGCCAGGAGCCCCTCGCGGCCGCGGCCTGCGAGTGCATCCTGGCGAACTGGGAGCAGCTCGCGGCGCAGCGCGTGCCCGAGGGCGCCTTCGTGCTGGCCGCGGGCGTCGTCGAGGCCGCGTGCCGCCGCGGCGCCGTGTCCGGCGACGCGCTCTTCCGGCTCATCGAGGCGCTCCCCGACGGGCTGCACGCGTGCGTCGACAAGCTCTGCGCCGGCGCGGCGTTCTGCGCCGTCGCCGCGGGCCAGGAGCACGCCGCGCTCGCGGCCGGGTCGCTGCCGCGGGACCGGCTGCTGCTCCTGTCGACGGCGCTCGGCGAGGAGCTCGGGAGCACGGTCCACCCCATCGCGCTCGCCGCGCGCGACACCGCCGCGGCCGCGTCGCGCCTGTCGTTGGAGACCCTCTGCCTCCCCGTGTCCGCGGCGTCCGCGCGGTGCGCGTCCGCGTGGGCCGGCTGCGGCGCGACGGTGCACTCCGCGCCGGCCGCGCTCGTCGCGGCGCTCGCCGCGGCCGTCGACGGCGCGGCGGGCGGCGCGGACGTCGCGACGGCGAGCCTGCTGGCCCTGCGGGACCTCGTGACGGCCGCCGCGGACCGCGGCGACGACGTCGGGCCCCTGGGCGCCTACGAGCTCCTGCTGCGGCCCGTCGTCGCCGCGGCCTCGTCGATGCCGCGCTTGCACGACGCGTTAGGCGTCGAGTTCGCGAACGCGCTCGGCGCCTACGCGGCGTCGGTCGTCGAGCTGCTGGCCCCGCGCCTCGCCGCGGCGTTGGGCGCGCCCGAGGGCGCGGTCGCGGAGGCCGCGCTCGCCGCGCTCGGCGCGAACTGCGGCCACGAGCTGCCCAACGTCGCGGCGGCGGCGACGGACGCGTGGGTCAAATTCTACGGCGCGCTGCCCGCCGACTTTGCGCCGCCCTGGCGCCGGGCCTACGCGACGCACGTCGTGCGATTGGTCGCGCAGCGCGCGTCCGACGCGTTCTACGCCGCGGGGACGTCGTTCGAGGACGGCGACGACGCGCACTTCAACCGGTCCTACCACGCGGGGCCCGCGATCTACGAGCTCGCCATCGCCCTCCAGGAGACGGACCTGGACGAGGCCGCGGTGCTCGCCGCCGCGCCCTGGCTCGAGGCGACCATGGAGGCCGTCTTCGAGGGCGCCGAGTCCGGCTCGGACAGCGACTAGGCCCGCATATTCTTTTTTCGCCCGTCCTCGTCTTTTTTTCCGTCTCTGATTAGATGCGCGCCGCGGAGTTTTGCTCCTGGGCGGCGGGCAACGCGAGCGGCGCTCACTTCGCTTTCCGCTTCGAGAGCGCGGCGAGCGCGGCGTCCTTCTCGCCCGCGCCCGACGGCGCGGGCGCGGCGGCGGGCTCCGGGGCCGGCGCGGGCGCGGGAGCCGGCTCCGGGGCCGGCGCGGGGGCGGGGGCCGGCGCGGGCGCGGGCGCGGGCGCGGGCGCGGGCGCCGGCGCGGGCTTGGGCGCCGGCGCGGGCTTGGCGGCGGCCTTGGCCGCCGCGGCCTCCTTGGCCGCCTCGGCCTTGGCCTTGGCGGCGTCGGCCTTGGCCGCCGCGGCCTCCTTGGCCTCGGCGGCCTTCTTCGCGGCCGCGGCGTCGGCCTGCTCCTTCTTGAGCTTGTCGGCCGACGCCTTCTCCGCGGCCTGGGCCTTGGCCGCGGCCTCCTTCGTCGCCTTGGCCTCGGCGACCTCGGCGGCCTTGGCCGCGTCCTGCGCCTTCTTCGCGGCCGCGGCGTCGGCCTTGGACTCGGACGACGCCTTGGCCTTGGTCGCGGCGTCGGCCTTGGCGGCCTCGGCCTTGGCCTTGGCGGCGTCGGCCTTGGCGGCGGCGTCGGCCTTGGCCTTCTCGACCTTCTCGGCCGCCTGCTTCGCCGCCTGCTCCTTCTTGAACTCGGCGTTCGCCGCCTTCTCCTTGTCCGCGGCGGCCCGGGCGGCGGCCTTGGCCGCGGCGGCCTCCTTGTCCGCGGCGGCCTTGGCGGCCTTGGCGTCGGCGGACGCGGCGCTCTTCTTCGCCGCCGCGGCGTCGGCGGCCTTCTGCTTCGCGGCGGCGGCCTTGGCGGCGGCGGCCTCCTTGGCCGCGGCGTTCTTCGCGTCCTTGGCCTTTTTGGCCTCCGCGGCGTCGACGGGCGCGGCCTTCTTGCCGCCGAGGAGCGCCGTGCCCTTGACCTTGGGCGCCTTGGGCGGCGCGTCCTTCTTGGGCGCCGCGGCGGGCAGGGACGGCAGGGAGAAGCCCGGGCCCTTGGGCGCGGGCGCCTTGGCGGCGGCCGCGGGCTTGCCGCCCTTGGCCGGCGGCGCGGGCGCGGGGCCGGGCTGCGAGAGGAAGAGGGCGGCGACGGACGCGACGAGGCCGCCGCCGGAGCCGAGCAGGGCCTTGGTCTCGAAGGGGTTGAGCTGCCCGAGGCCGCCCCTGTCCGCCTTGCGCTTCGCCGCCGCGATCTCCTGCTCGCGGACCTCGCGGACCTTCTTCGACTTCTCGAGGGTCGACCGCAGGCCCACGAGGCCGAAGACGGGCAGCGCCGCGAAGGGCGCCGCGCCGACGGCGATCGCGGCGACGTTCGGCGGGCCCGAGCTCGCCGCGGGCGCGGCCTTGGCCGCGGCCTTGGCCGCGACGGGCGCCGGCGGCGGCGGCGGCGGCGGCGCGACGGCGGCCTTGCCCTTCTTCGCGGGTTTGGGCGCGGGCGGCGCCTTCTCGGCCTTGGGCGGCGGCGGCGCCTTCTCGGCCTTGGGCGCCTTGGGCTCCTTGGGCGCCTTGGGCGCCTTGCCCTTCGTCTTCGCCGCGGCCTTGGCCGCCTCCTCCGCCGCCGCGGCCTTGGCCTCCTCCATGGCCTTGGCGTCGGCCGCCGCCTGCTCCTTCTTCGAGAGCTTCTTCGGCTTCTTCGCCTTGACCGGCTTGGCCGCCGGCTCCGGCGCGGGCGCGGGCGCGGCGGCCTTCGCGGCGGCCTTGCCCTTCTTGCTTCCGCCGAAGAGCGCCTCGCCCTTGACCTTCGTCGGCGGCGTCACGCTCTCCTCAGCCGGGATCGCGAACGACTCGACGGTCTTCTTCTGGAGCGCGTGCAATGAGACGGAGGGCCTGCGGTCGGCCATCGGCTCGGATCGCGCGGCGCGCGCGCGGATGGCGGCGACGCGCGCGCGCGGGCCGCGGCGCAGGGGTGCGGGCCACGGTGGCGCGAGGCACGCGGGTTGCGGGTATAGAGGGTGCGAGCGATGCGCGCGAGAGGGCAGGCAGCTGACTCAGCGATTGGCGGCGCGAGGGGCACGCGACGCGGGCCGCGAAGACGCACCGACGAAGCGCGGTGCTCGAGGGCACGCTGATGAAGCCGCTGGCGCCCGCGGCGCAGAGCGCGACGGCGATCGCGCGCATAACCATCGCGTTCAAGGTGCGGATCGCGTGATTGTGGCCTCGATTGGGCTGAGACGACGTACACGGCCCGCAGCTCGCCTAATGTTGAATCTTCAACGTAGCCGGTACCGGTCGGCGCTGGCGTCGCGTTCTGGCTTTACCCAGCGCGAACATCTAGCCGCGCCGCCGACGGGACACGCTGTAAGGCTAGCAGTCGCGAAAGCGGTGCGAAAGGCGCCGGAAATGGCGAGTAACGACCGCGTGCGCGTGCGCGCGGGAGAGCGTAGCCAATCCATAGCTCGGCCAGGACAAAGCGACGCACGTTGGCGCCGGCGTGGAGGCCCCGAGTGCTGGCAGAGGCGGCGCGGGCAGCGGCGCCTGCCGCAAGTTGAAGCGCTCGATCTTGCAAAGCGCTCGCCGCGCTCCGAGTGCACAACAGCGTGCCGCACGGCGAGAACGCCGTCGCGCCGCGCGCGCCGACGCCCACGTTGCAATGCGCGCCGTGCTCGTCGCCGTCCTGTTGCGCTGCGCCGCGGCGCGCATCCGCCGCGTCGAGGTGCGCGCCCTGGGCACGACGCCGCGGCTCGGCGGTCCGCTGGCGACGCCGGCGGCGCAGAAGGTGCTCGGCGCCGGGCCGAAGCGGGCGACGAACGACAAGACGCGCAAGGCGCTCGCCGAGGACGCGGCCAAGTGGTTCGGCAGCCGCGGCTACGTCGTCGACAACGTCGGCGTGTCCGTCGAGGGCGGGCCCGACGGCGAGACCGTCGTGCTCTCCGCGGCCGTGCTGCCCTGCGGCCCCGTGCGGCTGCGCACGAACTCGAGCAAGGGCGTGCGGACGCGCGCGGCGACGGTGGCAAAGCGCATGGGGCTCAACCGGCGCAAGCCCTTCCGCTGGGACGCCGCGAAGCTCGCGAAACTGACGGAAGAAGAGACGGGCCTCTTCGTCCGCTCCGGCACGCGCGCCAAGGCGTCGGTGGAAAACGGCTGCGTCGCCGTCGACATGGTCGTCGAGGAGCCGCGGTACGTGTCCCTCACGCCCGAGGTCGAGATCAACGCGGACTCCGCGCGCCTGTTCCTGCGGGTCGTCGACCGGAACGTGCTCGGCATGGGCGCGGAGGCGCAAGTCGAGGCGGCCTACAGCAAGCAGGGCGCGCCGGAGTTCACGACGCAGGTCACGCAGCGGTCCGACGGCGGCCGGTCCTGGATGGCGCGCCTGAAGCCCCTCGGGAGCCGCGCGCTGACGACGAAGTACGGCTTCGGCGACGGCCTCTCGGCCCAGTTCGACGTCGAGGAGATTCCCCCCCTCGACGACGACGACTCGGCCTACGGCGAGCAGGACGAGGGCCCCGCCGACGCCTACGTCGCCTTCCCGCGCGTCGCCGCGGCGACGCTCCGCAAGGACGGGCGGCGCGCGGCGTACGCCTTCGCGTGCGGCGACCGCGTCGGCAGCCGCTTCGCGGGGCCCTTCGCGCGCGCGGGCGCCGCGTGCGGCGGGTCCCTGGCCCTCGGGTCGCGCCTGGCGCTCGCCGGCGAGCCCTACGCCTGCGTCGGGTTCGGCAAGGCGCTCGCGGACGCGTCGCGGCCCGAAGCCGTGACGGCGCCGCGGCCCTACGACCGCATGCCCTGGGACCGCCGCAAGGACGCGCTCGGCGACGCCTTCGAGGGCGCTCTGGTCGGCGCGCTGCTCGAGGCGTCGGCGCCCGTGGCGCCGGACGTGACGGCCTTCGTCTTCGCGGACGGCGCGGTCGCCGCGGACTGGGCCGACGGCCTGCCCGTGGCCGACGCGGCCTACGGCCTCGCCTTCCAGGCGTCCATGCTCCGCGTGGACCTGACGAAGCGCGTCGGCGACCCCTTCAACCGCAAGCCCGCCCTCACGCTCAAGCTCGCCGACGCGCGGAACCGCCTCAAGGCGCCCTAGGGCGGGGGCTAAAGGGAGCGCCGCCTCGATGGCTCTCCCACGGCTAACTAACAGGTGCATCGTCAAATTCTGCTGGCCAAAGGTGAATGCACTTCCAAATATGCGAGTCGTTGCGAAGTAACATGGGCTAAGATAAAACTACCGCCGATAGATTATCGACTGCTGCCCCACACCCATGGTGCTCACTTCAGCCGCCTAGCCGTCGCCGTGCCCATGGCGTCAGACGTCGCCGCCGGCGGCGACAAGGAGAAGGCGGCCCGCCTCGGCCGGCGCATCGCCGAGGCGGCGTCGGAGATCTACGGCGAGAGCGACGGCGCGACGCTCGTCGCCCTGGGCGTCGCCGGGCTCAAGGCCTACGCGGCCGACGTCGCGGAGAAGCTCGACGAGCGCGAGCGCGACATCATCGGCCGCATGGTCGGCTCGGCCCAGGGCCGCGCCGACGGCCTGCGGCTGCTGGCCGCGGCGACGGCCGGGAGCGCCGCGGGCTCCGACGGCGACCGCCGGGGCAGCTCGCTGAGCGGCCTCGGGAGCGTCCACAGCATCTACGAGTCGAACCGCCGCGACAGCCTCGACCCGTCCCTCGACGGGTCCGAGGCCGGCGCGCCGCGGCGGCCCAGCGACCGCGCGAGCCCGGGGTCGCCGCGCTACATCGCCGTCAGGGGCAGCGCCATCGCCGAGGACTCCAAGGCCGAGGAGGCGTCGACGCGGCGGCCGAGCATCGGGCGCAACGTGCTCACGGGCCGGGGCTCGAACGTCGCGCTGACCGACGAGGACCGCGAGCTGTTGAGCCTCTTCGACCGGCTGTGCGAGTCGGACGCTGTGTGGAAATCAAATCTTCAACCCGACTTCAATGTGCGCGTATGCGACCGTTTCGACGCGAGGTTTTCTGCTGTGCTTCGAGAACTCGACGAGAGCAATCGATTCGTCCAAAAATCAGCCAAATCGACTTCGATTTGACCGAGCTAGAGATTTCTGAAGTTTGGCCCCGACGTCCCAGCTCACTGGTTGATTTCCACACAGGTCGGACGAGCGCTTCGCCGTCGAGGCGCTCCTGGACCAGCGGAGCGGGTCGAGCCTGGACCCGCAGCTCTCCATCGAGCGGCGCATCAAGATCGCCGAGCGGGCCCTGGCGACGGGCAAGCCCGAGGGCGAGGAGTCGGCCGCGGAGCGCGGCAAGCGCTTCAGCCTGGGGTTCTCGGCCGTCGTCCGCGACCAGCGCGCGCTGGAGACGATCCCGCGCCTCGACCCGAAGCAGTCCATGCGCAAGGCGACGGTCCACCTCGACGACCTCGGCGGGACGTCCTGGAGCGACCGCGCCCACGAATTCTTCCGGTCTTTGACGTTCATCATCGCGCACGACTCCAAGTACCTCCACGCGTGGGAGGCCTTCATCATGATCTTGGTGCTCTACGTCGTCTTCATGGTGCCGATCATGATCGGCTTCAAGTGGGAGCCGCCGGGGTCCGACGCCTTGCTCTTCTGGCTCGGCATGGGCATCGACGTGCTCTTCATGGCCGACATCCTCGTGAACTTCAACACGTCGTACGTCAACGAGACGACGAAGGAGATCGTCGAAGATAGGTGGCGCATCGCGATCCGCTACTTCCAGGGCTGGTTCCTCATCGACTTCTTCAGCTCCGTGCCCGTGGGCGACGCGAACACGGAGGTGAAGCTGTTCAAGGCGTTGCGGCTGCTGAAGCTCGCGCGGATCTCGCGGCTCTTCCGCCAGAACGAGCTCGTCGCGGCGCTGGGCCTGGACCTGAACCCGACCTACTTCCGCATGCTGTTGCTGGTCGTGACCTTTGGCCTGTCGATCCACGTCGTCGGCTGCTTCTACTGGATGGTCGCGCTCGAGACGGGCGGCGACTGGCAGGGCAGGACAAGAGTGATTCAACGTCGCTTCAACGTGAGTGTTCCGCGCGCGCCCGTTCTGAAAAAAGCATCCACGCTTCGAGACCGTTCCGAGAGATGATCGCTCGTCCAAAAATCAGCCGAAACGAGTGGAAACCGGCCGAGAGAGGAGCCTTTGAAGTTGGGAATTTCGCACTCTTGTCCTGCCCAGGCGACTGGGGCGAGAGCTGCGAGCAGGTCGCGCTGCCCTCGGACTTCTCGCCGAACGCGACGCTGGCCTACTACGCGGAGTGCACGCGGAACACGTGGCTCCCGGAGCAGCGCTTCCAGTCCATGGAGACGGGCCACCTCACGGAGCGCTACAGCATCGCGCTCTACTGGGCCGTGACGTGCATGCTGTCGCTGAGCTCGCTGGTCCAGGCGGGCGAGACGCTGAAGCCGCCCCAGTACTGGTTCTCCTACGCCGTCGCCTTCGCCGGTCTCGTGCTCCAGGCCGCCATCATCGGCGGCGTCACGAACTTGTTCGACAACCTCGACGAGCGCGCGAACGAGAAGCGGAAGCAGCTCGAGGAGCTCGAGCGGTGGATGGCCTACGAGCGCGTGCCCCACCGCCTCCAGAACCGCGTGCGCGAGTTCCACGAGTATTTGTTGGAATGCGGCCACACGCGGAACACGGAGCGGCACCTCGACGCGCTGCCCGTGTCGCTGCGGCTCAACATCGACCTCTGCCTCAAGCGCCACCTCGTGGACGCGCTGCCGCTGTTCCGCGCCTGCACGTCCGTGGAGATCATCACCATCTTGAAGCAGGTCGTGAGCCGCATCACCATGCCCGCGGAGATCATCACGCGCGCGGGCACGCCGACGAACGAGATGTACTTCGTGTCGCGGGGCATGGTCGCCGTCTTAGCGCGGACCGCGGAGAACGGCCAGGCCTACGACCCGTCGGCGGCGAAGAAGGTCGTGTCGACGCTGGCCGTCGGCGCCTTTTTTGGGGAACTGGCGCTGCTGCACGCGTCGCTCGCGCACCGCTGCGAGACGACGCAGTCGCTGGGCTACGGCGAGTGCTACGTGCTCACCAAGGCCAAGTTCGACGACCTCGTGCGGCGGTCCACGGGCTTCGCCTACGTGATCCGCACGGTGGCCCGCGAGCGCCTCGAGCGGGCCATGTTCCTCGAAGCGTCGCGGCGCAAGGCGCTCGACAACCGCGACAAGCGCCGCGGCCCCGGGCGGCCGTCGATGGGGTCCATGGGCGACCGCCGCGGCGGCGGCGCGGCCGACGGCGACGGCAAGAAGACGCCCGGCGCGTCGCCGACCCAGCAGCCGAACGTGCGGCGCACGCTCGGGGATAAAGAGACGAAGGACCACGTCATCAACCAGCAGGTGCACCGCGCGTCCCAAAACCGGCGCGGCTCCGTCATCGACCCGCGGCGCGCGACGATGGCCATCCGCTCCGTCGCGGCCACCGTGCGGCGGCGCCTGAGCCTGGAGGGGTCGAACTCGAGCTTCCGCACCGTCGCGTCCGCGCCGCCGGCGCCGTCCATCTCCGTCTACGACATCGTCGAGGCGGACCTGGTGGACGTCGAGTCGGGCTTCGCGCAGAAGCGCGCGGAGAACATCAAGGAGAAGGAGGGCGGCGACTCGCCGCAGAAGCGCGGCTCCGTGGACGCGGGGGGCAAGGCGCAGCCGGGCCAGGCGCGGCGGTCCATGGCGCGGAAGCAGTCGAACCAGAGCGGGCCTCCCGGCCGCGGCCGCCTCATCCGCCAGGCCTCGAAGCAGTTCAACCACCTCGGCCTCGGGCCCGGCGGCCGCCAGAAGCGCTCCTCCGCCAACGCGCCCTCGCCCCGCTAGTCTGGGGCACGCTAAGGGCGCCTTTATCTTATCGTTGAAGTGGATGATGCCGGGAAATCTTCGGACGCTGCCCCCTCGGAGCAAGGATGGGCGACAGGGAACGAGACCCGCCTCCGAAGTGGGCCATCAAAGGCATCGTCCGGGAGTCGAGCCCCGATCCGCTCCTCGTGCTGCTTGCCAAGGACGCGGGCAGCTCGTCGATGGGCAGCTCGTCGATCAACGCCTGCAGGACGCGGCCACCGCTCGGCGCCGCCTCGCCGCGGCCCGGCCGCCGCGCGCCGCGCGCGCTGCGCGCCCTGCTGGGCGCCGCGATCCTCGCGCGCAGCGCGTCGGGCGTGAAACTCATCTCCGCCAAGAACGCCTACAAGAGCGACTTCGGCGGGCTCGTCGACTCGTCTATGCTCAAAGTCACGACGGTGGCCTACGGCCGCGACGCGCTCACCTGCGCGTCGCTGCCGCTGCCGCTGACGTACCGCGTCGGATCCCACGTGTCGTCCGACTTCGCGCGCGCGGACGACGGCTCGCGCGTCGCCTTCTTCCGCGACGACGGCGAAGCCGCGACCGTCGACGTCCGCGCGGGCGTCTACGAGTCGACGGCGCCGGCCGCGGACCCCGCGGGCACGGAGGCGGTCGTCGGCAGCGACGGCGCGGACTTCGTGACGCTGCGGCGGGGGGCGCTCGCGCGCGCGTCCTACGGCAACGCGACGGAGACGGCCGCGACGTGCGCTCCGCCGGCCGGCGCGGACCCGACCGACGGCGTCGGCTCCTGGTTCGGCGCCTTCGGCAACGGCGTCGTCGTCCTCGCCAAGAACCGGTACGCCGGCGCGACGATCGACTACCTCGCCGCGCCCTCGACAACCGGCGGCGCGTGCGCGACGGCGAAGCCGCGGGTCGCGCTCGGGGCGAACGCGTCGTTCTGCGGCATGGCCTTCGACGCGGCGACGGGTCACGTCTATGCGCTCGTGGAGACGCACGACACGTCCAAGTTCCCGGACCCGGACTGCGAGAACCTGAGCGGCCTCGTCGCGTCGAACAAGGTCGTCCGAGTGGCGAGCGACGGGACGACGGAGGAGCTCGCGGACGTCCCCGGCGGCGGCGCCATGGTCGGCTCGCCCGCCATGTGGGACGCCGCGGAGCGGACCTGGCTCGTCGTCCGCGGCGGCGGCCTCTACGCCCTCAACGCGACGTCGCGCGGCTGGACGGCCGGCGAGTCCCGCGCGTGCGAGGACCTCGGCGAGCACGCGTCGGTGCTGTGAGTAAGGGGACGCTTGCCGGTGTTTCCGCGGCGGTGGTGGTGCTGTGCTGGTTGCAACGGAGCTCAGCGTTAAGCTCAGCGACGGTGTCTTGTGGCTTCATCGAGGCTGGCGATGCCGGCTTCGTCGACTCCTTGACCTCGAGCGAGTGACCGATGGGTGCTGCAACCACGCGCGCCGCGGGTGGCGCACCGATGCGCGCTGCGACCATGCGCGCCGCAGTGATCGCAGCGCTGTTCGCGCTGCCCTGCGCGAGCCTGCGGCGCGCCGCGGCGCCCGCGCGGCGCCTCGCGCCCCGCCTCCAGAGCGCCGCGACGGCGGCGCCGGCGTGCACGACGGTGAACGTGGAGCTCGGCGACCGCGCCTACCCCATCTACATCGGCGACGGCCTGCTGACGTCGGACGCGACGACCGCCGCGTCCTACCTCCAGCCGCACGTCGGCGGGTCCCAGGTGCTCGTCGTGACGAACGAGGTCGTCGCGGGCCACGGCTACCTCGACGCGACGGTCGCGGCGCTGAAGCACGGCGACAAGGGCGCGAAGCTCCGCGTGGAGACGCTCGTCCTCCCGGACAACGACGACGAGCCGTCGGAGGCGACGAAGACGCTCGAGAATTTGGGAGTAATAACGGACTACGCGATCGAAAAGGCGCTGGACCGCAAGTGCACGTTCGTCGCGCTGGGCGGCGGCGTCATCGGCGACATGGTCGGCTTCGCGGCGGCGTGCTACGTCCGCGGCGTCAACTTCATCCAGATCCCGACGACGCTCATGGCCATGGTCGACTCGTCCGTGGGCGGGAAGACGGCCGTGAACTCGAGAGGCGCGAAGAACGGAGTGCTTCAATTTCGCTTCAACATGAGTGTTCCGCGCGAGCGCGTGCCGGAAGAAGCATCCACGCGTCGAGAGCGCTTCGAGAGATGATCGCTCGTCCAAAAATTAGCCGAATCGAGTGGAAAACGGCCGAGATACGAGCCTCCAAAGTTGGAAAGTTCGCACTCTTTTCCTGCCCAGGCGCGAAGAACATGGTCGGCGCGTTCTACCAGCCCGTCGCCGTCGTCGCGGACGTGGGGTCCCTCAACACGCTGCCGGAGCGCGAGCTCGCGTCGGGCGTCTCGGAGATCATCAAGTACGGCCTCATCCGCGACGCGCCCTTCTTCGAGTGGCTCGAGCGGGAAGGGGTCGAGGCGATGCTCGCGCGGGACCGAAAAGCTTTGATCCAGGGCGTCGAGGACTCGTGCCGCAACAAGGCCGAGGTCGTGGCGCTGGACGAGAAGGAGGGCGGACTGCGGGCGACGCTGAACCTGGGCCACACCTTCGGCCACGCCGTGGAGACGAAGAGCGGCTACGGCACGTGGCTCCACGGCGAGGCCGTGGGCATCGGCATGTCCATGGCCGCGCACATGAGCCACGAGCTCGGCTGGATCGACGCGGATTTGAAGGAGCGGTGCATCGCCCTCGTGAAGAAGGCGCGGGTGCCCGCGTTCCTGCCGCTCTACTCGCCCATGGACGTGGCCTCCTTCGAGGCCATCATGGCCGTGGACAAGAAGGTCGCGGACGGCGCGCTGCGATTGATCCTCCTCAAGGGCGCCCTCGGCAACTGCGTCTTCACGGCGGACTACGACAAGGACGTGCTGAAGAAGACGCTCGAGTACTACTGCGACGACGCGCAGCGGACCCGGGACGATTAAGTGAGTTCCCGGACCTTGGCGGCGATCGCCGCGACGACCGCGGACCGCGACGCCGGCGCCGTCGAGAACGCGTGGGGCACGCCCGAGACGACGGCGACGTCGCTGCCGCCCGCGCGCGCGCGGTCCACGAGCGGGCCGGACGCGGGCGACCACTTGTCCCGGGGCTCGTCGGCGACGAGGAGCGCGTCGGGCCAGGGGCCCTCGTAGGGGCCCGCGAGCGACCGCATCTCCGACCGGCCGAGCGCGGCCATGGAGAAGACGTTGCCGAAGGCGCACATGGCGTCGCAGGTCATGGCCTCGTGGGCCGCGTCCATGCCGTCGGTCTGGCCCAGCGCGCGCAGGACCGGCCGCCGCGCGGCGCGCGGGAGCGCGCCGAGAAAGGCCGCGAACGACGCCACGGCCGCGAGCGCGAGGGGCGCCCAGGGCTTCTCGAGGAGCTTGCGGAGCGCCTCGAACTCGGGGTCCGCGTAGTTATTCTCCAGGTAGGGCTGCACGCAGACGGAGACGCCGTCGGCGCCGCTCGCCTTTAGAGCGCGGAGCGCGAGGTAGCCTCCGATGCTGTGGCCGACGACGACGAGCTTCCGGCCGCTCGCCGCGCAGGCCGCGGCCTCGGCGGCCACGAGCGCCGTCACGGACGCCGCCTGCTCGTCGACGGAGAAGCAGCCCTCGGCCCGCCCGCGGCACCAGCGCCACGCGTCGCGCCACCAGCGCAGCGGCCGGCCGCCGCCCTCGAAGAAGCCGCGGAGGCCCAGCACCGCGACGTCGCCGTCGAGCTGGTCCGCGAGCGCCGCGGCGGCGGCGTCGTAGTAGCGCGCGACGCCGGGGTTGCCGCCGACGAAGACGACGCGCGGGCCGCCGCCGCCGGACGACCGGCGCAGGAGCTCAAAGTCGCTGGTCGCGGTCGGTCGGCTCAGCGCGAGGCCGCAGGCGACGAGCGGGAGCATGAGCCAGACGATGGCGAGCATCGTTGCAGGCGTGCGGTGCGTGACGGAGACGACGACGACTAGGAGGCGCATGCGCAGCCCTACTCAAGTAGAGCAGCTCCATCGGCGTTGTGGCAATTCTTGGTTGCCGAATGGGAGGGCCGAGAAGCCGCCACCAATGCGCGCCATACGCGCCGTTCTGCTCGCCTTCACCACGCACACAAGTGCCTTCGCAAGCCTCGATCGTCGCGCGTTCGGCGCGCTCGTCGGTACGACGCTCGCGCCGCCGCCCTGGACGCCGACCGCGCTGCCCTGGCTCACAATACCTGAGGCGGCGCGACAAGCCGCGCTGCCCTTCGCGCGCTACCCCGACCCCGTGCTGCGGCGCGCCGGCGCGCGCGTCGACGCCTTCGACGGCGCGCTCGCGCGGACCGTGGCGCTGCTGCGCCGCGCGGGCGCGGCGCACGGCGCCGCGGGCCTCGCGGCGCCGCAGTGCGGCGTCGACGCCGCGATCGTGGTCCTCGGCGGCCGCGCCTTCGTGAACCCCGAGGTGCGGCGGCGGTCCGACGAGGCCGACCTGCGCTGCTGGCGCGAGACGTGCCTCGCGCTGCCGCCGGACGTTTCAGTCGAGACGCTCCGCGATCGCGCGATCGTCGTCGCCGCGGCCGACGCGGCCGGCCGGCGCTTCGAGGCGACGCTCCGCGGCGGCGCCGCGCGCCAGTTCCTCCACGAGCTCGACCACGCGCGGGGCACGCTCATCGTCGACCACGCGCTGGGCGTCGCCGGCTCCGCGCTCTACCCGCCGCTCGCGTCGCTCGAGGCGCCGGACCACGACGAAAGGCGGCGGCGCGCCTGGGCGCGCGACGACGTCGGTTAACCTCTGGCCTCCGCCCCGACGTGCGTTAGCCATTCGCCTTCTGGCAGTCGCGGTCCCGCGCGAGCGCGGCGCGCCACGCGGCCTCGTCGAGGGGCGGTCGCCCCAGCACGGCGAGGTTCGCGTCGACGTGGTTCCGCGCCTTGTGGCCGACGAGCGCCACGGCCAGACCCGGCGTGGACCGCGTCACGTGCAACCCCGCGGCGCCGGCGTCGTCGGACGCGTCCGGCGCCGCGTTGCACCGGTCCTCGCCCCGGCGGAGCTTCGGGCCGAGGCTCTTCGACGCGACGACGGACACGCCCGCGTCGCGCGCGCTCTCGTTCAGCGTCTTCCCGCCGTCGTACGCGGCGGCCCAGAACTCGGGGAACCGCGGCCCGACGGGCAGCTGCGCGAAGCGTAAGCCGTGGTCGCAGTCCGCCGCGTCCGCGCGGCAGCCCGCGGCCGCGCGCGCGAGGGGCACGAGGTCCCGCGCGAGGCCCAGACTTCCCGCCTCGCCCGGCGGCGCCCGGAAGGTCGCCGCGAACGTCGCGAGGCCGTAGGCGCGGATCCGCCGTCGCCGCCGTTCGCCCTCGAGCCAGGCGAAGGCCGTGGCCAACACGTCGAGCAGCCCCGCCCGGTCCAGGTCGTCGCGCTTCTCCGCGACGTTGTGTAAATAAAGCACGTCCACCGCCTCCAATCCCAACCTCTCGAGCGACGCGTCGAGCGACGCGCGGAGGCACGGCGCGGCGACGCAGTGGCGCCGCGAGGCGTCGAAGTCGGCGTCGCGCGCGCCGTAGTCGAGCGCGCGCCGCACTAGATCCGGCGTCGTGAGGAAGCCCGCCTTCGTGGAGACGAGAATCTCGTCGCGGCCCGCCAACCCCGACGCGAAGACGTCGCGGAGCGCGCGCCCGACGGCGACCTCGCCCCGGCCCCGGCGGTAGTTCGCCGCCGTGTCCACGACGTTGACGCCCGCCTGGACGGACTCGACGATGGCCGCGGCGACGCGCGCGTCCGTCTCGTCGTCCGCGTCGCCCAAATACGTGCCGACGCCGACGCCGCTCACCGTCAGGTTGCCCGCGGCGACACGGAAGAGGCCCGGTTTTTCGTGGGCGTGGCGCGCCGCGAAGCGCGCCGTGCCCGCCGGCGTCGCGTGGAACGCCCGCGCGAGCGCGCGCGGGTCGACGACGAGCGGCGGTTCTTTTTTTACCGTCCGGTGGTCGACGGCCGCGGACCGGCCGCGCGGCTGGCCGGCACCGGCGTCGTCGCCAAGGTGCGCGTAGAGGAAGACGACGACCAGCGCGACGGCGCAGCCGGCGCAGACCTCGCCGGCGCGCGACGGCCGGCTCGCCGGCCTCGTGTCGAGGGCCGCCGCCTTGTAGCTCTTGCGGTGCTGCAGCCGCCCGGGCGTCAGCGCCCGCCGCGCGTCCGGCGACGCGGCGAGCTCATGCGCGGACTCGACGTCCACGGACCGCGCGCGCGGCTTCGTGGGGCCCATTTGAGCTCTAGTAGGCGCCCATCATGCTTTTTAGCGCAGGAGTGCAAAGTGCACGGTAAGATCCTGACTGAATAGCTCTAGAGCTGCCTCAAAAGTTGTTCGAGTTCCAAGCTCTCCCCGACTCGAGAGCTGGGCGCAACTCCCCGACTCGAGTTCGAGTTCCAAGCTCTCCCCGACTCGAGTTCCAGCTCTCCCCGACTCGAGATCAGAAGAGGCGGCACCCCGCGGCGCCGCGACGCCCCTACGTTGTGGTGCGGTTGGACCTAGGTGTCCATGGCGTCGTCGTCGAAGCGGTCCTGCTGGGACGAGGCGTCCGTGGCCTCCCAGGCCTCCTTCATGAGCATTCTGACGGAGATGAGCGTCGTCAAGCGCCAGCACGACCACGAGCAGCGCCTCGAGAAGCGGCGCGAGCGCCGGCGCAAGGAGAAGAAGGAGCGCGCGCGGCGCGGGCCCGTGAACCACCCCGCGCGCTTCGACGTGTCGACGACGACGCTCTTCGACCGGAGCGGCTCGCGGGCGCGGTCCGCGTGGCTCCAGGTGACGCCGCAGCGCCACAGCGAGCCGCCGCGACCGCCGCGGAGAGCGCGCGAGCGCCGCGCGAGGACGCCGGCGCCCTGGAAGCCCGTGGGCGGGCTGAGCACGTATTTCGGCGACCCGCCCCTGCACGAGCTCGCGCCGAAACTGCGGAAGAAGAGTCTGCACGACATCACGCGCCAAATCGAGGAGCTCGAGCGCGACGCGCGCGAGGACGCGTACCACGACCGGTCCAAGGACGTCGTCGAGGCGCTGCGCGATCTCGCGCATCAGCGCGACGACGAGCTCCAGTGGGAACGCGACCACAACCCGCTCCACGTCGCCGCGGACAGCTCCGTGGCCGCCGTGCGCTTCCGGAGCTCCCTGAAGAAGTAACCGTTAGGTGACGTCCGCCGGGTGGACCCGCGGGGAGGCGACCGCGCCGGCGCTCGCGGCGAGGTCCCCGGACGCCGCGTCGTCGGCGACGTCGAGCGCGGCCGCCGCCGCGGCGCCCGCGGCGTCCGCGGTCGCCCTGGCCGCGTCGTCGACGGCCTTGAGCGCGCCCGTCGCCGCGTCGTCGAGCGCGTCGTCGAGGAAGTCGACGGCCCGGAGCGCGAGGCGCAACGTCGCGTGCCGCTTCCGCCGCGCCGCGAGCTCGATCGGGCACCGCTTCTCGAGGACCTTGGACCGCTTCACGCGGTCGCCGACGCGCTTCGGGAGGCGGTCGATGGCCTTGTCGACCTTGCGGCGCTCGTCGTCGTCCTCGTCGTCCATGATGAGGTCCAGGAGCGTCGTCTCGCCGTCGTCGAGCACCTTCCGCAGCGCGTGGTGCGTCGACAGGTAGAAGCGGAAGCTCATGTAGTACCACAGGTAGAACTGGACCATCCAGGCCACGAGCGCCGCCCAGAACACGCCCCGCGCGTCGCCGCGGTAGCCGTCGCTCAGGTCGCACGTCATCTCGACGCTCAGGTCGACGTCGTCGAGCAGGGACGCGACGGTCTTCGAGGAGAACATGGCCGTCGCGAGGTCGCCGGCCTTGTCGAAGAGGGCCCAGACGGCCTGGCGCAGCAACACGTTCGCGGACCGCGTGTGCGAACAGACGTTCCGAAAGGGCCACTCGAGGAAGACGGCCGCCGCGACGAGCAAAAAGGTCATCAGGAGGACGAGCAGGAAGTTCGCGACCTCGAAGGACCGCTGCAGCACGTAGACCGGCAGCGCGAAGTGGCTCCCCTTGCGGCCCTTGCCCGCCGTGCGCGCCAGCAGGTCCGGGATCGCGAGGAGGCACGCGTTGCAGCCGAAGACGAACGCGTAGACCCAGGCCGCGTAGCGCCGCAGGCCGAGCTCCCGGTCGCTCACCGTCGACACGGCGTCGAAGGAGAAGTCGATGACGTCCTTCGTCAGGGCCGCGTAGGACTTGGCCCGCGCCAATTGCGTTCTTCCGTAGCGCGTCACGCCGGACGCGCGGAGCGCCATCTTGTAGAGCTCCGCGAGCGCGTCGGACGCGCCGTCCCTGACGCGCGCGTAGGTCCGGATCGCTCTGCGCTCCGTCTCGACGCGCAGCTCGGAGAACGCGCTCAGCGCGACGCCGCAGACGTAGCGCGTCTGCACCGCGGCGAGCGTCGACGCGTCGAGGTACGGCAGCAGCGCGAGCGCGTCGTCGACGGCGTCGGCCGTCTCCAGGACGTCGTCGAGGAAGGCCTCGAGCGTCGCCGGCGCGAGGCCGTCGACCCAGGCCATGGCCGGCGAGCCCGCGCCGTTGTCGCCGACCGCGCCGACGCGGGAAAACGCGCCCGCGTACGCGGACGACGCGTTCCCAAAGGCGACGGCCGTCGCGTTGACGACGGAATGCGTCGTCGCCGCCGTCGCCTCGAACCAGTCGCAGAAGAAGGCGAGCGCGTTCGGCGGCGCGCCGAAGAGCAAAAAGCCGTTGCCGCCCTCCAAGCGGTTCTTCGCGCGCCGGCAGAACTTCTCGAGCGCGGTGACGTAGGCGACGGCCCCCGAGATCGTGCGCTTCGACAGCTTCGCGAGATCCTCGAAGGCGTCGACGGACACGTCGACGTCGCAGGGGTCGCCGAGGCGCCGCCGCGCGGGCGTCGGCGCGGCGGCGGCGTCGTCCCAGGGCTCGTCGAGCTGCTGCTCCAGAAACGCGAGGTCGTCGAGCGCGTCGTCGTCGTCCTCCGCCTCGACGCAGACGTCCAGCGTCGCCTCGGCGACGTACGCGAGCGTCGCCTCGACCGCGTCCTCGACCGCGCCGAGCAAGGCGCGCGCCTTCGCCGCGGCCTCGGACGCGCCCGACGCCGACACGTCCCGCAGCTCGGCGCTCCCGAGGCACGAGTCCAGCGCCACGCGCGTGCCGCCGACGTACTCGTAGGCGAGGTCCGTGTGGAGCTCGTAGAGCGTCGTCAGGCTCTTCGTCGCGCCTTTGCAGACCTGGAGCCCGTCGCCGGCCATGCCCCGGACCCAGCGGAAGCCGCGGATGCTCACGCCCAGGGACGCCCGGTTCTCGTTGACGACGGACGTCCAGGCCTCGACGGACCAGGAGTAGGACGCGACCATGAGGGCCAGGACGAGGAAGGGGACGCCGTGGTAGCGCAGGGCCAGGACGATGGACCGCACGTCGTACATCAGGTCGAGCGCGTCGTCCCACCGTTGCCGGAACGTGCGGCCCTCCATCGCCGTTCAAGTACGGCGGCGCGCCGAGCTCCGCGGCGCCGGACGCGGCGGACGCCTAGGTTTGTGGAATGCACTGTTAACTGCGGCGTCGGAGCGCGCGCACAGGCAGCCTAGGTTCCGCTCATGAAGCCAACCATCGTCGGCGCTGATTGCAAAACCGGCGATTGACCATTTCAAGTTTTTTTGGTGCATGCTGTGGTGCCCCTCGAGATCGACGAGGGTGGGGCAGCCCCGCAACCATGCTCCTCAGCCATGTGCTCGAGAACCAGCAGATGGCGGCGCTGGAGAAGGGCCTCGGGCGCATGGCGGCCCTGCTCGAGGAGGAGCGGCTCGCCGTCGCGGAGGCCGAGGAGGCGGCGCGGCATGCGCCGCCGGAGGCCGAGGAGTCGGACTACGACCGGGAGCGGCGCGAGGCGGCGGCGGCGTACCTGCGCGTGCGCGAGGAGCTCTCCTCCCCCGGCGAGGAGCTCGAGGCCGCGGAGCAGGACATGGACGCGTCCCGCGTCGCCGAGGGCCGCACGTTCCTCGAGCGGCGGACGCGCGTCGTCCTCGCCGACCGCGCCGACTACGGCGACGCGCTCCTGTCCCAGGACGCCGTCGCGGCGGACCTGCGGCGCGCGCTCCGCGCGGCCCCGGAGGCCGACGGCGCGGCGGAAATCGCCGCGGCGCTCGACGCCCAGCACGCGCTCGCGTTCGCTCTAACGCGCGCGCTCGACCGCGACGCGGACGACGACGACGCCGCGTGGCGCGACCTGCGGGCCCGCGCCGACGAGCTCGAGCCGGCGGTGCTCGCGGACTGCCCGCGGGGCGCCGAGGAGCTCGCGCGGCTCCGCGCGCTCGCCGACGGCGTCCTGGAAGCGAAGGCGGCGCTGCGCGCCGCGCTCGCGGCCGGCGGCGCCGCGGCGCTCGCGGAGGCCCACGACGCGGCGACGCGGTCGCTGGCCGCCGTGCTGGGCGTCCAGGGCGACCACGTCGGCTTCGGCCTCCTGCTCCGGGCGCGGCGCGCGCGCGACGCCGCGGCCGTCGCGGAGCGCGCGGCGGCGGGAAACAGGGCAGCAAAAGAGAGCGAAATTCCCAACTTCAAAGGCTCCGATCTCGGCCATTTTCCACTCGTTTCGGCTGATTTTTGGACGAGCGATCATCTCTCGGAACGGTCTCGAAGCGTGGATGCTATATTCGGAACGCGCGCGCGCGGAACACTCACGTTGAAGAGACGTTGGATCACTCTTTTGCTGCCCAGGCCGGAAAGGCCGCGACGCCCGCGCGCGCGCTCGCGGCGCTCCGGAGCGCCGTCGACGCCTTCGCGGCGGACTTCGCCGTCGAGGACGCCACGGCGGGGGCGAGCAAGCGGCGGGCGGCGCCGCTGCGGGCCGCGCTCGATGTGGCGCGCGCGAGCCGGGGCGTCGCGGAGCCCCGCGCGGAAATCGACCGCCGGTTCGGGACGTCCCGACCAAACTTTGACATTCTCGATCTCGGCCAATTCGATTCGGCTGATTTTTGGACGAATCGATGGCTCTCGTCGGGTTCTCGAAGCACAGCAGAAAGCCTCGCGTCAAAACGGTCGCATGCGCGCACATTGAAGTCGGGTCGAAGATTCGAGTTCCGCGCAGGTGGAGCCGGAGGACGCGCTGAGTCGCGTGCTCCGCGCCGCGGAGCGGCGGGAGAAGGGGCCGCCGCGGGACGTCGATCACCCCGCCGTCGCCGCGGCGGCGGCCTGTTTGCGGCTGGACGAGTTGGCGTCGAGCCTCGACCGGCGGTGGGGCGAGCTCCGCGGGTCGCCGGAGCCCGGCGACTACGCGCTCGCGCGCGCCGCGCGCGACGCGCTCGCGGGCGCCGCCGCGGAGCCGTCGGACGACGACGCGGTTCTAGCCGTGCGCCGCGCGTGCACGGCCTTCGCCGCAAACTGCGACGTCGAGCTCGCGCTCGGCGCGCGGCTGCTCGTGCCCATCCGCTGCGACCTGAGCCTGCTCATCGTGCGGCACGCCGTCGAGGCGGCGAAGGACTTTGGCTACGACGCCAGCGACGCGCCCCTGCGCGCGGACGTCGTCGAGGCCGCGCGCGCGTCGCCGCTCTACGAGGCGCCGACGTGCGACGAGACGCCGCCGGAGCCCGTGAGCGGCTGTGTGCAAATCAACCGCTGGTTTGGGACGTCCCGACCAAACTTTGAAATTCTCGAGCTCGGTCGAATCGAAGTCGATTCGGCTAATTTTTGGACGGATCGAGTGCTCTCATCGAGTTTTTGAAGCACAGCCGAAAATATTGCGTCGAAACTGTCGCGTACGCTCACGTTGAGGTCGAGTTGAAGATTTGATTGCACACAGGTGAGCGGCCGCGACGCCTACGCGGCGCACTGGGCGTACAAGACCTGGGCCGACATTCCCGAAATCCAGCACCCCGGCGAGGGCTGCGACGCGAGCGAGATCAAGGCGGAGTTGTTTCGCGGGCCGACGCCCATGGCGCCGCTCGATCCGCCCGCGACGCTCCGCGACGCGCGCGCCGACGCGGAAAGGCGCGTCGAGGCCGTCGAGGCGCTCGTCGCGCGGTTCCGCGTGGCCATCAAAGCCGCGGACCGCGCGGCTTTACGGACCGCCGTCGACGACGCGGACGCGATGGGCTTCGGCGGCGACCCCGTGGGCGACGCGGCGACGCTCCTGGCGACGGGCGCCGTCGACGACGGGGCGGGAAACGAGCGCGAATTTCCCAAAGGCTCCTCTCTCGGCCGTTTCCCACTCGTTTCGGCTGTTGCTTGGACGAGCGATCATCTCTCGGAACGGTCTCGACGCATGGATGCTTTCTTCCGGAACGCGCGCGCGCGGCACACTCACGTTGAAGCGATCTCTCTTGTCCCGACCAGGTCGACGACGACGGCGGCGTCGCGTACACGGGGCTGCGGTCCGGCCTCACGCTGCCGCGCGCCGACGACATCTGCCCCAACTGGGGCGACCCGCCGGTGCTCACGACGGAGCAGGAGGTCGACGCCGCGCGCCAGCTCCAGATGGAGCTCGACGAGTGCGACGCCGATAAGTTCGAGGGCTTCGAGGAGGCGGGCAAGCACGACTTCGGCGAGGGCTTCGACGACGCGTTTTTGTTACTCGCGGACGCGCCGCGGAACGCGGAGGAGGAGGCGAAGATCAAGGCGCTCCGGGCGGACCTCGACCGGCAGCGCGCGGACGCGCCGCGGCTTTTGGACGCGAAGCTCGCCGCGGAGGCGGCGGCGCTCGCGAAGGACCACCTGGCCTACTGCGAGAAGCTGCGGGACGAGGTCGTGAATCTGATGTACACGGGCGACAAGGACACGCCGCCGACGGACCTCATCAGCCGCGAGGACGAGGAGAAGATGATGGCCGAGGAGCGGAAGAAGTACGACTTCGAGTGGCCGCCGAATCCGGAGCGCTGGGGCGCGGAGCTGCCCGACGACTGGCGGCCCCAGGCGTCCCTCGACGACCGGGAGAACGACGTGCACCCCGAGGACTTCAAGTGGTCCACGACGCCCTTCGACGGGCGGGACTACTGCGAGCCCACGGAGCCGGTCCCCGAGTACGACGACGAGACGACGGTCTACGAGGACATCCCCGTGCCGAGCTGGAAGGACCTCCAGTGGCCCGGCATGGACAAGTGGAAGGCGGAGCAGGCCATCCGCGACGCCAAGGAGGCGGCCTGGACCAAGGAGGACACGGAAAGGCGCGTAAAGCTCACCGTCGACCTCGCCGAGGAGATCTCGTCGGACATTAGCAACGCGCACGCGCGCGCGACGGCGACCACGCTCAACGCGCACTGGATGGACGGCGCGTCCTGGCGCGGGCCCTACGCGACCAAGGGCAGCCTCGTCGCCCGGGAGTTCATCGAGGACCTCGAGGGCGGGTGCCCGGGCACCCACCCGGACTTCCCCAACAAGGCACAGTCCCCGACCGGTCCCCGATCTCCTTTTCTGGAGGACATCGTCGCCGGCACCGCGACTCTGTTTTAAAAGCCGGGCCGCGCGAGCGTCACGCGGAGCTTTTTTTCGCGCTTCTTGAACTTGGCGCGGACGCCGCCGGGCGCCACGGCGCAGGGGAGGGCGACGACCATGGACCGCGGCAGGGCCGCGCCGGCGAGCGTCAGCGTCGTCGCGTCGACGGTGAGGTCGAGCTCCGCCGCGCTCGAGACGCCCTCGAGCGGGCCGACGGTCACGACGACCTCCGACGGCGACGTCTCGACGTCGTGGGGCGGCAGCAGGCGCGTCGCCGTCGGCTGCGACAGGCCGAGCCAGGAGTCGATGTAGGCCGCCTCCTCGACCTGGTCCTTCGGCGGCGGCGGCGGCGTTCGCGCCTTCTCCGCGGCCTCGGCCTCGGACTTTGCGAACGCCTCCCGCCGGGCCTCGGCCATGCCGTCGAGGAGCGCCGCCGCCTGGGCCTGGGCCTTCGCCGCCTCCGGGATGGCGGCCTTGCCGCCGCGGCCGAAGAGCGCCGCGGCGACGTCGGCGCTCGCGGCGGGATCGCTCGCGGCCGCGGGCGCGGCCGCGGGCGCCTCCGCGGGCGCCGTCGCGGGCGCCTTGGCGACGGCCGCGAGCTCCTCGCGGCTCGACGCGGCGACGATGGGCGTCGGCGCGCTCGACGGCGCGCCGCCGGCGCCGAGGCGCCGCGGCGGCTCGCAGACGACCGTGTCCGTGCGGCTCGCGAGCGTGCGCGACTTCTGGGGGCCGCCGAGGCGCCGCGGGCCCGTCGGCGCCGCCGCGCCGCTCGTGGAGAGCTTCTGCGGCGGCGGGCAGTAGGTCAGGTCCTTGTCCACGGCCTGGTGGCTGTAGAACTTGCCCTGGAGGGCAGCCATTGCGTTGCGCGAACGAGTCGAGCAGGCTGTATTGAAGTCAAGGTGAATTCATTTTGCCGCAGATTTTGCGATCCACGATGGGCAGCAGCTGTGGCCCAGACTCGCATTAACCGAAGCGGAAATATGCACGCCTTCATCCCAGTGCTCTGCGCGCTGCTGCCGATAGCTCGCGGCGAGTTCGAGTCCTGGGACATGCACGGCGCGTCGAGCCTGCCGCCGCGCCACTACCTCGACGCCTTCTCGCGGCCGCACGTGCTCCGGCGCGTCTGCCTGCGCCGCGGCGGCTGCGCCGGCGGCGTCGCGCTCAGCGACGCGGAGGTCGCGGGCCTCCCGCTCGAGGACGTCGTCTTCGGCGACGGCCACGTCCGGCAGACCTACTTCGAGCAGCACCGGCCCCTCGCGGCCGTCCGCGGACTCTGGGAGAAGCCCGACATCGAAGTCCAGCGGCAGGCGGAGAAGGCGACGCAGCGCCGCTTGGAACAGGCCGCGAAGCAGCGGCCGTCGCTGCTCTCGCCGCGGAACCGGCGCCTCGCGCGCGGCGAGCGGCGAAAGAAACTCGCGGAGAAGACGACGACGGGCGCCGCCGTGCTCCTCGAAGACACACAACCGTGCTACGTGTCCGCCGCGAGCAACTGGACAACCACAAAATACCTCGGCGAGACGCTCGACCTCGCTTTGCTCGGCGAGCGCCCGAACGCGTGGGTCGGCCGCGCGTCGACGGCGGCCGCGCACTACGATGCGGCGGTCAACTCCTTCGCCGTCGTGCGCGGGTCGAAGCGCTTCCTCGTCGCGCCGCCGGGCACCGTCGAGGACGAGCGCAGCTACCTGCACCCGCACTTCCGGCGGTCGCGGTCGCTCGCGGCCGCCGACGATCAGGAAGTGGTCGCGGCGGGCTTCGAGGCCGTCGACCTCGACGCGGGCGACGTCCTCGTGCTGCCGGCCTACTGGTGGCACCAGGTGTCGACGGTGGACGGCTTCTCCATCAGCGTCAACGCGTGGAAACGGCCGCCGCCCGTGGAAAAAGCGATGGCGCTCGCGAAGCGGCCCGACGACGTGCTCCCCTTCGGCGCGAACTGGGCCCGGGGCGACACGATCGCCGTGCTGGAGCGGCTGCTGGAGACGCTCGTCGCCGGCGTGCTGAGCGGCGTCGACGCCCGGGCCTGGCTCCGGCGGAAGCTCGAGCATCGCCTCGGCGACCTGCCCGGCATGTACCCGAAGCTCCTGACGGGCGCGACGGCGCGCCACTGCGCGCCGGCGAACCGCGCGGCGCGGGCCGCGCGCGCGGCGGCGCTCTGGGACGCTCCGGCCATCGCGCCGCGCGTCGCGCGCGCGGCCGGCATCCTCCGCGGCCTCGACGATGCGCGCGTCCGCGCCGTCGAGCTCGGCAACGCCGTCGAGGCCGTCGCCCAGGCGGCCCTCGCGCCGGAGAGGAACGCGACGGAGTTCGCGCCGGGCATCTTCGAGTGCCGCGCGCGCCGGAGCGCGCGACCGGCCGTCGCGTTTTTGCTGTCGTGTTTCCGCGACGACGAGCGCGCGGCGCCGGCGGCGGCGGACGCGTCCTTCGAGGACGAGGACGCGGGCTTCGAGGACGAGGACGCGGGCTTCGAGGACGAACGGTGGAACGCGACGCCGGCGGACGCGGCCGTCGGCGCCGCGCCCGCGGCGGTCGGCCGCGTCGCGACGGCGTCGGAACTCTAAGAGGGATGCGCCTAACATTTACCCGCCCGGGCGCCTCACAGGACCTCCGTGCCGTTGTTGTACACGGTCTTGATGGGCACGTAGGGCTGGGACGCGCCGGACCGGAGGCGCATGCGGCGCCGCCGGTACCCCAGAAGCAACACGATGATGCAGCCCAGGACGGCGATGAACGCGACCTCGTTCCAGGAGCTCTTGGACACGTAGGACGCCTTCGTCTTCGTGACCGTCTCCTCGGGCTCCTCCTCAGGCAGCAGCGCCCAGTACTCGCAGCCGTACTCGCACTCGCCGACGTGTTGAACGTTGGCGCTCGCGGTCTGGCAGTTGTTGACGCACTTGGCGTAGGTCGACTCGCCGTCGAGAGACGTGCAGTACCTGCGGCGGGACGTTGCGACGTTTTTTTATTTCGGAGAGAGGCGCCGGCGCGCGGACTTTTCCAAGTTGACGATGTCCTCGCTGCTCATCGACGCGCAGCCTTTGGAACAGTAGTAGGAATCCGTCATCGTCGTACCACCGTAGATCTCTTTGCATCTTACGAAGCATGCCTCGACCTCCTCCTCGCAGGTGAGCACCATCGTGAGTCGCTGCGCCTGTTCCGGCGGCGCCGCCGACGACGACGGTGGCCAATATATGACGAGGTCGATGGGGCAGCCCAATTAATTTAAGTTGAAGTAACTGTGGGGGCCAGACGATGGATGCTGCCCCGCGCAGCCCGCTCCGCGAGCTGCGCGACGTCCTCGTCGCATCGAACACGTCGATCGAAACGAGGCTCCGGTCGACGATACAGCTCCAGGAGCCCGCGGCGCTCGCGCCGCGCGTCGCGTCCGTGGCGACGGCGTCGTCGACGTCCGCCGCGGCCCTCGAGGCGACGTCGGCGCGCCTCGACCGCGTCGCCAAGCACGTGTCGAGCCTCGAGCGGCGGCGCGCGCGGCGCGCGCGGCGCGAGTTCCACGACGCGCTCCGCGCGTCCGTCGCCTACGAGCGGCTGCGGCAGCCGCGGAAGAAGCGCGTCGTCCGGCCGCCGAGGCGCGCGCCGTCGCCGCCGCCGAAGCCGCCCGCGGCGCCGCCGCCGGGCGCCGCGCCGCCGCCGCCGGCGGCGGCCGTCGCCGCGTCGCCGGTGAAGACCATGGACGAGGCGCTCGCGGCGCCGCCGCCCGCGGCGGCCGCGCCCGCCGCGGACACGGACGACGACTCGGAGGGCGGGCGCGCCGAGGACGACGCCCTCGCCGCCGCGCGCGCCGCCGAGCTCGCCCTGGCCCGCGACTCCGTCGCCGCGGCCGAGAGGGTCGCCGCGAAGGCGCCGCCCGCCGCGTCCGCGTTCGACCGCATGAGCGGCTTCCTCGCGCCCCTCGTCCGGGCCGTCGCGCCGGCGGACCCCGTCTTCGCCACGGCCGACGACGAGGAGGAGGCCGCGGGCTGGCTCCACCGCCGGGTCGGCCGGTCCTGGGACCGCCAGTGGGTCGCGCTCCGCCAGAACGACGTCGTCGGCCCGTTCCTCGAGTTCTCCCCGACGCCCGGCGCGCGGGATCTGGTCGGCCGCCTCGTGCTCAGCGGCTGCGACGTCGCCGCCGTCGACGACCACGACGGCGACCGCTTCGCCTTCAAGATCGCCCACGCGCACACGCAGGACTGCGTCTTGTCGAGCGTGAACCGGCTCACGCGGAAGCAGTGGGTCGGCGTGCTCACGCAGCTCATGCGCGAGCACGCCGTCAAGAGCCGCAAGGCCGACCAGCAGCTCGCCGGCGCCGGCGAGAAGCGGCTCCAGAGCGCGCGGCGGCGCCTGTCCCTCGCGGCCGCGCGCGCCGCGCAGCACGCGTAGCGCGCGCGGGTGACATCGAGTTACTGGCGAATTGGCGGGGCACAGACGCCCCCCACGAACACTAGTTCGGCGCCGGCGCCTTGGGGAGCTTCTTCGGCGAGTCCGGGTCCGACGGGTGGAGCTCGGGCTCCGCGGTCCGCGGCGCCAAGTAGGGCACCTTGAGGTGCGCGAGCAGCACGTCCAGCTTCGCGTTCGTCTCGCGCTGGATGTGCTCGACGCGCGCGACGCGCTGGAGCACGGTGCCGCCCGAGACCTCGTCGAGCTCCGCCTGGCGCGCCTGCTGGTCGCCGATGAGGTCGATGGTCATCATCTTCTGCCACGACGTCGTGATCGCGTTCACGGACCGCTCGAGCTCGAGCCCGGACCACTTGTTCCGCTTGAAGCGGTTCTCGACGTAGTCCGCGCGCACGGCGTCGTAGTTGCAGCAGTAGGTGCCGTCGTCGCAGACGCGGCACACGGTCGCCTCGGCCTCGGCGCGCTCGAGGAAGCAGCCGTCCTCCTTGATGCGCACGCGCGCGCCCGGCGAGTGGCGGCTCGAGATCTGCTCGCGCTTGACCACGAGGTCGATGTTCTGGAAGGACACCTCGAGGAAGCCGTCGTCGCGGACGTCGATGACGCGCGCGCGCTGCGGCGGCAGGCCGACGTCGAAGCGCGCGTAGACGAGGTCGCCCTTGGCCGTCGGCGGCCCCGACGCCGCGACCTTGGACTTGGACGGGCGCTTCGCCCGCTGGGCCGTCGACGGGCGGCTCTCCGGCGGCGCGTCGCCGTCGAGCTCCTCGGGCGTCGCGGTGACCGTGCCCGGCGCGCAGATGTGGCGCGTCCGCGGGAGGCGCACCTCGTAGGTCGACGGCGTCAGCCGGCGGTCGCTGCCCATGCTCGACGTGTAGAAGACGTCGACGATGTCCGCGGGCCGCGGGCCGCCCCCGAGATCCACGTAGACCTTCTGCCCCGTCGTCCACTCGGACTCGTCCGTCGTCGGCGGCAGCGGCGTCACGATGGACGTCTCCCGGACGCCGTCGGCGCGCCAGCGCAAAGGCTTGAAGTTCTTGTAGAGGTTGAAGAGGTTCTTGTCGCGCTCCTTCTCGGACGCGCGCTTGATGCGGTTGTCGAGGTGCACGGACTTGCGCCGCTCGTGCGCGTCGACGGCGCGGTAGTGGCGCTTCAGGGCCAGCTTCTGGCAGAGGTAGGCCGCGTTGTAGTAGCGGATGCGCGCCTTGCGCTCCTGGACGGCGAAGGCGCCCGTGCGGTAGACGCCGAGCTTGAAGAGCTGCCAGCCTGTGTGCAAATCAACCACTGGTTTGGGTGGTCCTGACCAAACTTCAGAATTCTCTAGCTCGGTCAAATCGAAGTCGATTCGGCTGATCTTTGGACGAATCGATTGCTCTCGTCGAGTTCTCGAAGCACAGCCGAAAAGGTTACGTCAAAACTGTCGCATACGCTCACATTGAAGTCGAGGTGAAGATTTGAATTCCACACAGCTGCCAGCCCGCGAGCTTCCGCGTCGCCGCGAGCAGCTTCGGGCACGCCTCGGGCGTCATGATCTTCTCCAACGTTTCTGCGGAAATAGCATTCACAAAGACGTGGCCGATGGCCGCGACGTCGAAGGCCGACGGCATCTGCGCGCCGACGAGCGAGTGGATGATCTCGACGCCGATGACGTCGTGGTTCCGCGCGCTGAGGAACTCGCCCGTGGACAGCCCCTCGCTCAGGCCGTCCTCGGTCTCGCCGCCGACCTTGTCCACCTCCTCCTCGTCGCCAAAACCCAACTTCGCGCGCATGCGGAACGCGGAGCCCTCGAACATGAGGAAGAGCGAGTCGTTCATCGCGCCGCCGCGGACGATGAACTCCTTCGCCGCGAAGAGCCGCGGGATCAGCGCCAGCGAGATCTCCGTGACGAGCACGTTCGACTCGCGGTTCGCGGCCTCGAAGCGCCGCAGCCAGGGCGAGTCGAGCGGCAGCCGGAGCCGGTCGTGCGCGACGCCCGCCTCGACGTCGGGGCCGCCGTCCCAGCGCTCGCCGTAGAAGACGGTGTACTTGAGGCACTTGTCGAGGCTCAGCAGGCGCGCCTGGAGCTCGCCGTGGGCGCTGAACTCGACCTCGTCGGGCGCGACGACGACGAGCGTGCCCACGGCCATGCCCGACGTCGTCCGCACGACCGTGTTCAGGAACGGCAGCTTCGACACCCAGTCGCCGAGCTCCTCCTTGGCGACGGCGCGCTGGAGCGCCGGCGATAACGATTGAAGCATCTCCCGGTGGTACATCTTGCGGAAGAGGCCCTCGGAGTTGATGTAGTACTCCCTCAAATGCTTCTGGAGGCCCTTGTTGATGTTCCGCTCGAGCATGTACTGGTTCAGGTTGTCCATGGACGTGCGGTAGTCGTTGAGCGCCGGGTCGAAGTTCGTCAGCACGTTGGCGATCTCGCCGATTAAAAAGGCCGTCATGACCATGCCGGAGAGCATGATGAGGAAGCCGAGGAACGACTCGCCGAACGTGACGCTCTCGCTCTCGCCGCCCATGGCCTTGGCAGCCCATTCTAAAGCCGCGACGTACTCGAACCAGAGCCCCTTCTTCCGGTAGCGCACGGTCGCGAGCCAGCAGTCGCCCTCGCTGTCCGTGTTGTACCAGTCCGGCGGGTCCGCGCCGGGAATATCGGGGGACGACGCGTAGTACTTGACGCAGTCGGGCGTGTCGCCGATGAGGCGGATCATGCAGGCCCAGAGGTGGGTGATGACCACGATCAACAGCGTGTACTTGATCATGGTCATGACCTTGAAGGAGATGTTCACCGTCGACGCGAGCCGCGCGACGAGGCGTCCAAATCTTAAAACTCGCAGCAGCTTCGGCAGCCGCAGGAGCTTCACCATCTTCAAAGCCCCCGACGCGTTGGAGTCGCAAGAAAAAATCCGCATGCGCGCTGGCTGGAACTTGGCGGCGATCAACGTCTCGAAGGGCAGGCAGGACACCAAATCCAGGAAGAACCACCCGCGGAAGTAGCGCTTCGCGACGCGGCCGTAGGACACGATCCACTTCGCCCGCTCGTGGTCGAAGAAGGCCGTGTTGAAGTTCAGCAGCACGTCGGCCCAGAAATACAGGTCCACGATCAAATTCGGCGCCAGCAACGAGCAGCCCCGGTGCACGAACGCGATCTCGAACGGCGTGACGACGGCGACGTACGCCAAAAACGGCACCATGGACACGGACCAGCCGTTGAAGAAGAAACTGTTCGGGTTCGTCATCCAGGAGTGCTTCGGGAAGGTGATCTCCTGCTTCGCCCGTCGCACCATGGGCGGCAGCGCGGTGTGCTCGACGCCCCGGACGAGGCGCGCCGCGCGCTCGTAGCACGTCCGCGCGCCCGCTTTCGCGCGCGAGGACATCTTCGACGGCGACATGGCGTCGGACAGGGGCGCGTAGGGCGACACCTGCCGCGACTTCCTCATCCACTTGCCCTTCTTCTTGTCGAAGGTGCCGAGCTGCTCCTCGTTCGGCTCACTGTTGCTGTCGAAGGTGTCGAGGAGGAGCGCGTTGGACTCGCTCCGGTCCATGCGCCGCGCGCTCGCCTTGGGCGTGCCGGGGCTCTTCGGATTCGGCGGGAGCGGCGACGTCGTCGGCGGCGCCGCCGCCATGAGCGCTCCGGCGCGCGACGGGCACCGGGGCCGCCGGCGGGGGCTGCCCCGGCGGTGGGTCGCCGCGGCGCGGCGCGCTGGGCGGCACGAAAGGCCACTGGAGCGCGGCGCGCCGCGGAGGCCTCGAGCGCGGCGGCGGCGGCCGGTGCGACGTCGGATGCCGCGCCGCGCGTCCGACCGCAGCGTACCGCCCGCCGACCTTTTGCACTCGACGCGTTGAGACTCGAAGCGCTTCCCTTCAATCCATAGGATTTATAAAGGAAATGTAAACTAAAGCCTCCGGGCTGCTTCGCTTTGGCGGCGTCACGCAAGTGGCAGCCTTCAGCCTCCTCCGCGGCTCGACGCGGCCGGGTGCACGCGAGCTTCGACGCGCGTCGTCGCCGCAGCGGCCATGGAAGGCGAAGCGCTCGTGCCCGGCGCTCGGCCGCCGGAGGCGGCGCCGGCGAGGAGGCGCCTCGCCCCCGTGGTCGCGGGCCTCGCGACGGCCTGCGTCGTCGGCGCCGCGCTCGCCTCGCATCCGCGGGTGAGGACGACCGCTCTAAACGTGGTGACCCACTGCCCGAAGTCGACGTGCTACAGCTGCACGAACGGCAACCCGGGCGTGCCCGAGAAGTACGCGAACGGAGAGTGGGGCACAGGGCAGCAAAAGGGTGATTCAACGTCGCTTCAACGTGAGTGTTCCGCGCGCGCGCGTTTCAAAAACAGCACCCACGCTTCGAGAGCGCTCCGAGAGATGATCGCTCGTCCAAAAATCAGCCGAAACGAGCGGAAAACGACCGAGATAGGAGCCTTTGAAGTTGGGAATTTCGCACCCTTTTGCTGCCCAGGTGGGGCAACATCACGGGCGGATGGTACGTCTTCGCCCAGAACGCGGAGCAGGACCAGCTCGACTGCGACCGCTTCTCCTTCCTCGACGACGAAAAAATTCTCCACGAGGAGCAATTATATTACGGAACGCCGACGGAGACGACGTACTGGTTCAACGTGACGTCGAAGCGCTACGACGACACCACGGGCATGTGGCTCAACGAGCACTCGAGCGACAGAGCGTGGAGCTTGGTCTGGCTCGTCGGGACGTACAAGGGCAGCCGCTACTTTGGGTGGTACCACTGCGGCGACGCCGCGGGCTTCACGAAGCGCGGCGAGGCCTTCGTCATGAAGGACGACCTCCACTGGGACGACGCGCTGCTCCGCAAAGTGAAGAAGAAGATGAAGAAGGCGGGCCTGCTGGACGCGTCGGCGTCGACGTTCTCCGAGGCGCGGCAGACGCGGAAGAGCTGCGACTACACGTTCCCTTCCTTAGCATAACAAATTTATTTTAGCGACGCGGGGGGACGTCAGAGGAGGGACCGGCTCCGCCGGAGGTTCGCCTCCTGGCGCGCGAGGTTCTGCTCGCGGATGGACCGGCGCGCGCCGGGGTTGACGAGCGCGGCCCAGGCGCGCGACGACTTGTCGGAGAAGACGCTGCCCCGCGAGTCCGGCGCCGACTCGTCCTCCTTGCGGCGCACCTCGTGGTTGTAGTTCGGGTAGAGCTCGCGGCTCGGCGGCCGGTCGAAGTCCGTGAGGAAGGACGTCTGGAGCTGCTTCCGCTTCGCCGCGGCGTCCGCGACCTCGCGCGTGAGGCCGTCGTCGCTGCGCCGGTCATTTCGCCGCGTCTCCTGCTCCAGCAGGCGCGTGACGGCCTCGAACTCGGCCTCGATGTCCCGCTCGTCGAGGGTCGCGGTCTCGCCGCCGTCGCTCTCGTAGTCGCAGCGCCGCCCCGGCGAGCCCTGGAGCGGCGGCGGCGGGGGCGGCGGCGGCGCCGGGTCGCCGCCCGCGAGCCGGAGCTCGGCGGCCTGCATCCAGGACGGCTTGATGATCGCGGGCTCGCTCGCCGACGGCTCCAGGGACCGGCCGCCGAGGCGGCGCCGGCCCGAGTCGGCCAGCGATTGGCGGCGCACGGGGCTCGACGGCTCGACCATCGCTTCTCGACGCGTCGCGCCGCCGCCGCGACGGGGGGGCTCAGCGCCGGGGGCTCCCCGCGGGGACGGAGCTCCAGAAGGACGGACGCGGCCGGGCAGCCCCGGAGCCCGGTGCCCAAACCCACGATGCAAATCGGTGCCCGACATGTTGAACCTCGTGTCATTCATGTTGAAGTGATCCTAGATCTCAAAACCCGCGCGTAAACCGGCCCGCCCCCTAGACCGCGCGCGGGCTGCCCGCGGCGCGCTGGGCCGCCTGGGCCGTCATGCGGCCCAGGCTCAGCCGGTTGAACTGGGCGAGCGCGGGCGCGGACCGCGCGTTGCGGACGACGCGGAGCGGCGCCGTCGCGAGGCCGCGCGCCGTCGCCGCGGTGTCGCGGCGCACGTCCGTGACGTCGAAGAGCGTCGCCGCGGGCGAGAAGCCGTCGTTGGGCCGGGGCAGGCCCCGCGCGCGCGCGAGGCGCCGCTCCCGTTTTTGCTGCGCGTAGTAGTCGCCCCACGCGGCGAGCCACGAGGTCGACGGGTTCTCCGCGTCCTCCGGCGACTCGAGGCGCACGCGCGGGTACTGCGACGCCGGGAAGGCGTGCGCGTGGAGCAGCGCGAAGGCGAGCATCTCGACGCACATGAGCGTGCACTTGAGCGCGCCCAAAGCCGCGGTCGCGTCGTCCTGCGTCGCGCCGAACTTCGTCGCCAGCCCCGGCGAGCAGTAGAAGACCGCGTCGATGCCTAAATCCTGGAAGAAGGTCCCGAAGACCAGACCCTTGACGGCGACGAACTTGCCGTGGGGGTGGCAGGGCAACAGTAAATCGTGGGCCGCGTAGAAGAAGAGGCCCAGGCAGTAGATCGCGTGGTTCGCCGTGTTGAACGCGACAAAGTAGGCCCAGGAGCTCGGCGACGCGAGCGCGCCGCGGAGCGACGCCTCGTCGCGGTCCGCCGCGTCGTCGTCGTCGTAGTTGTTGTCGCCGCCGGCGAAGGCCGAAACAATATAAACCGCGGCGCACAGGGGCATGATCGTCGCGTAGAGCAGCACGCCGTAGCGGCACTGGCCCAGGAACTCGGGCGAATCCAGGCGCCAGGGGCTGCAGAACCAGCGGTACGGCGGGCACGGGTGCGGCACGGCCAGGTCCTCGTCGTCGTCGTCGTCGTCCGCCGACGAGTTTTTCGTGATACCCTCGCGCAGCACCTTCTCCGCCGCGCCCCCGTAGTGCACCTCCAAAAACGTGACCATGAAGTAGAAGAAGTTCAGCACCGTGTAGCTCTCGTAGCAGTCCCGCAGCGCGCCGGGCACGGCCGTCCACCGCCGGCACTCGCCGCAGCCCTGCTCGACCTCGAGCCACAGCACGAGCTCCGCGAGCGAACACACCGCGTAGACGGGGACCATCCATAAAATTCTCGTGACGTAGACCTGCAGCACGGGCCGCCAGTAGTTGTTCACGTGCGTGTAGACCCCGTACAACGCCACGGGCACGGCCGCGCCCGCGAAGGTCGCGGAGACGGGCAGCAGGTACGCGCGGCCTTCGGCGTCCGACACGGCCAGGGAGTAGATCATCGCCGGGAGTCCCAAAGCGAGCGCGAGCCCCGCGGAGCAGACGTAGATCCACCGCGTCACCATGAGGCCCACGGCGCGCCGCCGGCTCAGGACCGCGTAGAGCGCGTCGTCGTCTACCGACGGGCCTCGGGTGCGCCCGTCGAGCACGACCTCGTCGGCGCCCGTGAGCGGCTCGGTCAGGTTCGACTCGACGTTCAGGGGGTTTGTGGTGTCGCCGCTGGCGTCGTCGTCCATGGTTCGGACGGCGCGGAAAAAGTGGTGCTCTTGGAGAGGCGGCGGTGAGCGCGGGCGTGAAGAATGCGGTGCTCTTGGAGAGGCGGCGGTGAGCGCGGGCGTGAAGAATGCGGCGCAGGAGCTCGAGGCGGCCGCACTTGCAAAACTGCTCGATTGGCCTCAAGTTCCCGAAGCAGGTTTGGTTGAGCCATCAAAAGCGGCGTCCGGCGCGGCATGGGCAGCCCCAGCCGCACCGATGACGCCATGACTCGCAGCAGCGCGTAACTCCCACACACACATGAGCTCCAAGGTCTTCGACCGGGACCACGTGCACCGCGGGTCCGTGACGGCCCTCAACTTCGCCCAGGGCCTGAGCCTCAAGCGCGCGTCCATCAACGCCGGGGCCGTGTCGGCGAAGCTGCCGGCGGCCGTGCGCTCCGTCGAGGACCTGCTCCGGCGCAACGCCGACGCGAAGCGCATCCTGAGCGGCGAGAAGCCGTTGGAGAAGCGCAGCGCCTGGCACCGGGTCCGCGACGCGACGGAGGTCGGAATCCCCGACGTGCACACGCACCGCATCGGCGGCGCGGTCGACGACGCGGACATCGACCGGAACCGCTGGAGCGCGTCGCTTCGACTGCGGCGCCACCCGGAGACCGTGAGCAGCGTCGCGTCGCAGCTCCAGTTCCGCGAGAACCTGCGGAAAGGCAGGTGCCGCGCGTCGGAGTCGCGCGCCAAGTTCGAGGAAAAGTTCGACGCGTTCAAACGACAGGGACCGACGAAAACAACGCGGCCCCACGGCGCGGCGTTCCGCAACGAGTTCCAGATGCTCGGCGACGACGTGGCGACGACGTCGACCGTCGTGGAGGTCCGGGAGCGCGAGGACCCGGAGCCCGAGCCCGACCGGCACCGGAGGCGCAAGTCGCGGCCGTCGACGGCGCCGCGCGCGGGGCGCCGCGCCTTCGTGGAGGAGCCGCGGTCGGCCTTCGACACGTCGGCGCCCGCCGAGCGGCCCACGTCCGCGCCGGCGGTCCGGGGCCCGCGGACGCTGGAGGCCGCGACGTCGAGCGGCGACGTCCAACGGCTCAACTACTTCGGGCAGCAGGCGAAGCGCGAGTTCTTCGACCTCTACAAGTCCATGGCGCGCCAGGCCGAGATCGTCGACGACGTCGGCGCGCGCGTCGCCGGCGAGGAGCGCGCGCGGCTCGCGGCCTGGTCCGACGACGACGACGACGTCGACGACGAGGCCAGCAAGTCCGGGTCGTCCTGCGCATCATCAAAAATCCCGGCGCCGGAGGCGGCGACGGGCGTGAGCGACCCGAGCCACAGCCCGCGGCACCGCTTTGCGCGGGGCATCGCGGCGATGATGAAGCGGTTGCGGCGGCCCGGCGCGACCGGCGGCGACCCGTTCTGCCTGCCGGAGCCTCTGTTCGTACGTCGAGCCGCCTCCGACGGTTTGGATCTCGCGCACCGCGCCTACGGCGACGACCTGGCCATCCTGTTGGCGGACATGATCACGGAGCTGCCCGCGCTCAGGCGGCTCAACGTGCGCGGCAACCGGCTGTCGGACGCGGGCATCGCGGCGATTCTGGGCGCGGTCTGCGGCGGCGGCAGCCACCTCCGGGCGCTGGACCTGTCGCAGAACGTGCTCGACGGCGCCGCCATCGACTCGCTGGCGCGGTTCCTCGAGACGGAGGCCTGCGCGCTCGAGGAGCTCCACCTGGACGGCGCGGACGTCGACGACGGCGAGATCCGCGACCTCGTGCGCGCGGTCGCGAAGAACGCCACTTTGAAAACCCTCGCGCTGTCGGGCAATTTCTTGGGCGGCGCCGCGGAGAAGCTCGCGAACTGCGCGCCCGAGGACCGCGGCGCCTACGCGGTAGCCAAGGCTCTACGGACGAACGCGACGCTGACGAAGCTGGACCTGTCGTGGAACCAGCTGGGAGCGCAGTCCGGGTCATTGATCGGCGGCGCGCTCATGAAGAACCGGAGTTTGGCCTGGTTCTCGCTGGCCTTCAACTGCATCGGCGACGCGGGCGCGATGGCCTTGGGAAGAGCGCTCGACGCGAACGGCACGATCCAGCATTTGGACGTGTCTTCCAACGGGATTCGGAACCGGGGCGCCCAGGTCATCGCCGAGGGGCTCCGGGACAACCTGCGGCTGACGCGCCTCGACATGAGCGGCAACCCCGTCGGGGCTCTGGGAGGGCGGGCGCTGCTCGCGTCGCTCAACTACGCGCGGCGCCCGCGCCACATCGAGCTCGGCGGCTGCGAGCTCTCCGGCGACGACCGCGCGCCGGGCCGCTTCAACCCGGCGACGCCCCAGGGCCACTACGACCTGGACCTCGACGACCCCTTCCAGTGGATGGTCGCGAAGCAGCTGATCTGGCTCAGCGTCACGCGCGCGGGGGCCAAGTTCCGGAGCCTCGTGGAAATCGACGCGTCGTCCGGAGGGAAGCCTACAAAGCGCAGCGTCACGCTCGTGTCGCGGACGCCGGAGGCCGACAAGCCGGGCGCCATCGGCTGGGAGCCCGGGAAGAAGGTCGAGGGCCCGAAGGCGCCGATCTCTCGGGAAGTGTCCGCGAAGATCCGGAACCGGATTCGAGCATCTTTAGTCGGCGAGTCCGTCGAGTCCATCGTCGACAAGTTCGACGACGACAACTCGGGCACGCTCGACGCGTCGGAGCTCACGGAGCTCATGCGCCGCGTGTTCCGCATCGCGCCCGCGGAGGTGAGCGACGCGGACATCCGGAAGCTGCTCGACGCGCTCGACGAGGACGCGTCGGGCACGATCTCCACGGCGGAGTTCGCCGAGTTCGTGGACAAGGGCGACGCGGCGTTCTTCGTCAAGAGCCCGAAGAAGGCCAAGCCCGCGGGCTTCCACGCGATCGTCCGCCAGCAGTCCGTGAAGCTCCAGGTCGACGACGGGAAGATGACCAAGGCCGCGGCCCTGCTCCAGGCGCGCCTGCGCGGCTTCTTCGGCCGCGTCGACGCCGTCCAGAAGTTCGAGGCCGGCGTCACGGACGCGCGGACGTCGTCGGTTGCAAGGGCTTTGATCGTCGCCGACTACGCGGGCGTCCGCGAGTCGGCCGCGGGCGGCACGGCGGCGAATTTGTTGAAGGTGACGCGGGCGCTGCGCACGCGCATCGCGTCGAAGGCGTCCGTGGAGCACGCGCGCTTCAAGATGAAGAGCGTCATGGCCGCGACGACGTCGCGCCAGGTCCGGTTGTCCATCGCGCGGCTGGAGCCGTTGGATTCAGAGACGGGCCGGCCCTACAAGCTCCCGACGGGGCCCAAGGCGCGCCTCCAGTGCCACCTCACGGCCGCGACGATGCCGCCGAGCGAGCTGTCCGTGCAGAACGCGACGGGCATCGCGGCGATGGAGCGGCTCATCCTGAGCCCCCAGGTCGGCGACCGCATCGCCCTCGTGCGCCTCGCGGCCGTGGACCTGCGGATTTTCGCCATGCAGCTCCAGCATTTCCTCGACCGGCTCATGCAGAGCGCGCGGCCGCTCGACGGCGGCGAGATCGTCGACTTCTTCGTGTGCCTGCTGCCGCGCGTCGTCGACGTCCACTCCGTGGCGGGCCTCGTGCAGCGGAACCTGAGCGAGGCGCAGACGGCCCACCTCTGGGCGAAGCTCGGCCCGGCCATGCCCGTCTTCGCCGGGGCCGTCGCCGCGCGCCACGACTTCGACCTCACGCAGCCGCTGCACCGCGCGGCGCTCTGCAAGCTCGTCCAGATGGACCAGATCTTCGTCGCGCAGCAGCGGGGCCACTTCGGCGACGACGGCGGCGGCCTGACCTTTTCCGTGTCGGCGAGCGCGGGCGGCGACCTGTCGCAGCTCTATCGGGGCGGCACCTCCCAGAACTCGGACTACCGCGGCTTCCGCAACGCGACGTTGAACGGCGACCCCATCTCCGCCGCGGAGATCGAGGCGCTCACGGCGACCTTCGGCGACGCGGGCGCCGACGCGCCGACGCTCAAGGGCAAGGCCCAGCTCAAGTGCGACTACGCGGGCTTCCTCCGCGCGCCGATGGACGCCGCGCCCGTCAGGGCAGGACAAAGGTGATTCAACGTCGCTTCAACGTGAGTGTTCCGCGCGCGCGCGTTCCGGGAAAAGCATCCACGCTTCGAGACCGTTCCGAGAGATGATCGCTCGTCCAAAAATCAGCCGAAACGAGTGGAAAATGGCCGAGAGAGGAGCCTTTGAAGTTGGGAATTTCGCACTCTTGTCCTGCCCAGGCGCCCGTGAGCGGCCTCAAGCTCAACATGCTCCTCTTCAAGAGCGGGTTGCGCTACTCGGCGACCTACGTCGAGAAGCACCCGGCCGTCGGGCGCCTCGTGCCCGACGTGCTCTTCGCCAAAACCGTCGCGGAGCAGCTGCAAAGCGACGCGAAGCAGCTCGTCACGGCCGAGTCGCCGGCGGCGGAGCGCATCCGCCGCGCGTCCTACGGCACGGCCGGCGGTGGCGCCGGCCGGCCCAAGGACCGGGACCTCGCCGGCTCCTTCAGGGCGCCGGAGGCCGCGGACGCGGACGGCTTCAAGGCCTGGCTCGACAAGCGGCGCGTGCCCGCGAAGACGTGGCCGCGGGGCGAGCTCGACGCGGCGCTGCGCCAGCTCAAGGCCCGCGAGGCGCACTGGGCCTGCGACCTCGTGCCCGCGCTGACGGGCCGCAAGAAAAAGAGGCCGCACGTCAAACGGACGATCCACGTCGTCCGCGCGCGCATCTCCCACTTCCTCGAGGAGAAGGTGCTCATCTGGCGGCCGCCCTTCAAGGGGTCGGGCTTCGCCTCCCTCGTGCGGAAGAACGCGGCTTTGGACTCCATGTCGCGGGCGAACTCGACGCCGGCGTCGAGTTCGCCGCGGGCGCGCCACGACCTGTGTGCAAATCAACCAGTGAGCTGGGACGTCGGGGCCAAACTTGAGAATTCTCTAGCTCGGTCAATTCGACGTCGATTCGGCTGATTTTTGGACGGATCGATTGCTCTCGGCGTGTTCTCGAAGCACAGCCGAAGAACTTGTGCCGAACTGTTCGATTACGCGCACATTGAAGTCGGGTTGAAAATTTGATTTCCACACAGGCCACGACGACTTCGCCGCGGGCTTCGAGAAGGGCCGCGCGTCGCTGCCGCTGGGCCTGGAGACGCGGGCGCGCGACGACGAGGAGGCGGCGCCGCCGAACCCGAAATTCGAGATCCGGACGGCCGAGGACCCGCTGCTGAACCGCGCGGCCCAACGGGTCGCGGGGTCGCTGCGGAAGCGCGTCTCCGCGGCGCTCCGCAAGGGCGAGCTGCCGCTCGTGGAGTCGTTCGTCACCAGCGACATCCGCGTCGACGAGGAGGGGTCCGTGCTGCTCTCGCCGGCAAATACGGCCGCGCGGTCGGTGTTGCGTGCGCTCAAGCAGCGGCTCCGGGGCTCCGCGGCCGTCGCCGCCTTGACGGAGAGCGATTTGAGGTGCGTGCTGCGCACGCGGCGCAAGACGGCCTTCGCCTACACGAAGCCGCGGACGCTCCCCCACGCGGAGACGCAGTGCTACGTGTATTATTTCGAGGTCTACGTCCACGGCCTGCCCGACGCGCTGCCGCCGATGAACCTCGAGCGGGGCCAGTGCGTCTGGCTGCCCGCGGACGAGGCCGAGGACGTGCCCACGGAGCCCGAGTCCGTGGGCAAGATGGTGCTGAATTTCCGCACGAAGACGTCGGCGCTGTTCTTCACGTGCCGGCAGGCGCGCCACATCGCCGACTGCTTTTTGGAGTTGGTGTCGCCCGCGAACGAGGCCGACGCGCCGAATCTGGCGCCCGCGGCGGAGCAGGCGCGGTCCCTGGCGCCGGCGACCAAGGCCAAAGACGCCAGACTAAGACGCGGCTCCGCGGCGCCGTCCATGGCGGACCTGATGGACGCGAAGGTCACGCCCACGAAAGCCAAGATGAAGCAGAAGCGGAAGGACTTCGACGAGGCCCAGGACGCGGAGAACGCGTCGACGGCGGGGTCGCGCAACGGCGCGGACCGGGAGCGGCGGAAGAACGTCTTCGGCGACAAGAAGAAGCGGCGGGGCGACCTGAAATTAGGCGGCGAGGCCGCGGGCGCCGCCGTCGCGCTGGCCATCGCCAAGGGCCACGGCGACGACCGGCAGCGGCGCGGCGCCGTCGTCGCCGACGCCGTGGAGATCCTGCCGAACCACCACTACCTCATGGACCTCTTCGTGCACCTGCTTTCCCGCGTCGTCGACCCGGAGAACTTCTACTGGAATTGCATGGCGCGGCTCCCGAAGCACCTCCACTACCGGTTCCTGGAGCGCGTGGGCTGGCTCAACGTGCTCGACGCCATGAACCCGCACACGCACTTCGAACTGGACTTTAAACACCTGGACCACTGGAAGGTGGGCCACGTGCTCACGCAACTGGCGGCGACGGAGGACGGCGTCAACTTCATCAACGCCAAGTTCCAGCGCGACGCGGAGACGCCGCCGATCCCCGGCTGGGACCTGCCGACGACCTGGGACGTGAAGCGCTACAAGGGCAATCTACAAAAAGGCGTGCCCCACGCGGGCCTCCTGTCCGTGGACTACACGTGTTTGCCGGAAAACGAGCAGCTCGACGAGCGCGACGACCTCGCGAAGCGCTTCACGCTCGCGGGCGTGCCCCGGCCGGAGACGGACCCCGTCGAGGCCGCGGCGACGGCGCCGCGCAAGCCCGGCGCGCGCGGCAAGGACCGCGACGTCGCCCTGGGCATGACGGACGCGCGGCCCGCGCGGCACGTGCCGGGCCTGCTGCCGCGCCAGTCGTCGACGAGCCGCGGGCACCTCGTGCCGAGTTAAGTAGGCGCGTTTAGAGAGTCGGCTCACTCCGCGTGGGCCGACGCCTCGGCCTCCGCGCGCGCGTCCTCGCGCGCCTTCTTGCACGCGTCGTAGGCGGCCTTGCACTGCTCCTCGACCTCCTTGGCCTCGGCGGCGAGGCGCTCGGCCTCCTTGCACTTCTCCGTGACCGTCTCGCGGTCCTTGCGCTCGATGGCCGCGAGCGCCTCCTGGCTCGCCTTTTGCGCGAGGCCGCTCAGGCGCTCCGCCTCGAGCGCGCACTTCTGGGCCTCGGCGGCCTTCTCCTCGATGAGCTCGACCATCTTGAGGCTCATGCCCTGGCTCAGGTCCGGCCGCGGGTCCTTGGCGAGGTAGGGCGACACGGGGCTCCAGTTCCGCCACGAGCTCGGGTCCGCCGCGGAGTCGCCTGCGGAGCGGTTCGAATCGTGCGCGCTTCGAGGCGGCGGGCGGGTCGCGGCGCGCGGGGCTTCGGGATGGCGCGGTTCGGCGGGAGCGTGCGCGTGGTTTTGTGGCCTACCTGCATTCGCCATCGTTTCGAGCGGCCGGTATCGGGCGGTCGGCGCGCGAAGTTGGCCAGCGATGCCGAGATCTGTTGCCACAAAAAGTCAAGCAGCCAATGATGAGTCGGCGAGCGGCATGGGAAGCGCTTTTGCGCACAGATAGATCGCTGCACAGAGAAGCGCGATGACGGCCACGAAAGTCAAGGGCCGCAAACCGACGAAACCGCCCGCGGGCCCGCCGGAGCTGCCGCCGCACCTCTTCGAGCTAAGAGACGAGGAGCTGCTCGCGGCCCTCGAGGTCGAGAGCGACGGCGTCGTCGTGCGCTGCATCGCGGAGCGCCGGAACGACGGCCCCGCGCAGTTCCGCTGCGCGGGCGCGAGCGAGACCTTCGAGAGCGGCGCGAAGGTGCTGCTCGCGCGCGTCGTCGCCGGCGGCGGCGACCATCAGACGCTCCTGGCGGCGCTGCGCCTCGCGCGCGGCCACACGGGCGGCGCGGACGGCGCGCTCCTGGAGAGCGCCGTGCGCGGCGTCCTGCGCGCGAGCGGCCGCGGCGACGTGCTGCAGCTCGCCGCGCGGTGCCTCGCGGGCGACGGCGCCTGGCGCGACGCGTCGCTGCCGCCGCGCGCGCGCGTCGCCGCGGCCGCGGCGGCCGCGGCGTCGGCGCCGGAGGTGGAGGATGTGGCGCGCGTGCTCGTGGCCGCCGCGCGGTCGCCGGACGAGGACGCGCGGCGCGAGGCGCAGCGGGGCATGAAAGTACTCGCGGCCGCGGCCGCGAAGCCGCCCCTTCGCGCCGGCGCCGCCGCGGCGCTGCGCTCCTGCGCCGAGGCGTCGCTCTGGCAGCTCCGCCAGCCCGCCGCGCGGTTGTGCGTTCCGCCGGCGTCCTCGTTCCCTTTTTTCGCGCGACGCGTTGCCCCTCACCCGTAGCGGCGCCAGGCTCTTCGCGGCAGCCAAGGCCGCCTTCGAGGCCGCCGTCGAGGCGTCGCGCGCGCTCGGCGTCGACCTCGCCTGGGTCCAGGCCGCGGCGGCGGCGCCCGGCGGCTGCTTCCGCGGCCGCTGCGCGGCGCTCGAGGCCGCCGCGGGCCTCGGCCTCGTCTCGGAGCGCGCGGATTTGTGGCGCGCCGTCGTGCTCCCGGGCGTCGCCGGCGACGCCGGCGCGGCGCGCGCGGCGTCGTCCCTCGCCGTCGCGCTCGCGAGGAGCCGCGGCGGCCTCGCGGCGAGCGGCGGCGCGGCCTTCCTCGCTGATTGCTTGGCTTCCGGCGACGCGGCGACGCGCGACGGCGCGGCGGAGCGCCTCGGCCCGGAGCTGCTGCGGAGCGAGCCCGGCGCCGTCGCCGCCCTCGGACACGCGCTCGGCGACAATGTGGGCGCGCGGGTCCTCGCCTGCCGCGCGGCGGCCGTCGCGTACAAGACCTTCGACGGACGCGCGCTGCTCGACGACGCCGCGCTGGCCGCGGCGCTCGACGCCGCGGACGACGACGTGCGCGTCGGCGCGCTCGGCGTCTTCGAGCACCGCGCGGTCTGCGGCGAGCGCTTCGACGCGCTCGCGGACCGCCTCGCGGCGTCGTTCCGCGACGCCGCGCTGCGGCCCGCGGTCGTCGCCGCGGCCCGGCGCCTCGCGCGGCGCCGCGACGCGGCGCCCAAGTGGCGCCCCGCCGCCGCGGCCCTGGCGGACCGGGCCGTGGGCGCCCTCGGCGACCGCGCCGCCGAGCACGCGGCCGTCGCGGGCGGAACCCCCGCGTCCTTTCGCGCGAATCGCCTTCCGATGCGTCCGCCGCAGGTCCTCGAGGAGCTCGAGAGCTCGGCGCCGCTCGAGCACGCGCACGCGGCGGCGCTGGCGCACGCGCTCCTGACGTCGACGTGGGACCGCACGCGCGACGCGGCCTTTTCGCTGCTGAAGCGCGCGCCGCGGCTGCCGGATGCGGTCGCGGCCGCGGCCGAGGAGGCCGGGGGCCCCACGGGCGACTTGCGCGCCGACGACGCGGCGGCCAAGTGCGTCGCCCTCGCCGCCCTGCGCCAGGGCCGCGCGGGGCTCTTCCGGCGGCTCATCCACGACGACGCGCAGCCCGCGGCTCTCGCGCTCCTCAGGGCAGCAAAAGGGTGCGAAATTCCCAACTTCAAAGGCTCATATCTCGGCCGGTTTCCACTCGTTTTGGCTGATTTTTGGACGAGCGATCATCTCTCGGAACGGTCTCGAAGCGTGGGCGCTTTTTCCGGAACGCGCGCGCGCGGAACACTCACGTTGAAGCGACGTTGAATCACCCTTTTGCTGCCCAGGCGCTCCTCGTCGGCGACGGCTTCGGAGGCGCGGACGAGATCGACGCCCTGGGCGCCATCGCGACGAAACGCCTCGCGGCCTTCGGGGCCGCCCTCCCGCGCGAGGACGCCGAGGGCGCCGACGACGACGACGAGGACGCGGTGGACCGGGGCGCGTGGCACGGGACGCGCGCGGCGTGTGCCCTCGCGGCCGCCGTCGCGCGGCGCGCGGAGACCCCCGCGGGCGTCCTGGAGCGCCTCGGCGACGCTCTGCTGGACCGCGTCCTGCTCCACACGCGCCACAGCGGCGCCATCGCCGCGGCCCAGGCCGCGCTGACGTCCGCGGCGACGGCGTTGCTCGTCGGAAGCAACGCCGACGCGGACGCGGACGCGGACGCGGACGCCGCGTTCGAGCCGAGGTGCACGGCCAACGTGGACACCGCGGCGCCGGAGTTCCTCGCCGGGGCCGCGCGGGCGCAGGCGGAGCGCCTGGCAAGCGGCTTCGCGGCGGACGGCGCGCCGGGCGGCGCGTATTCCGAGCGCGCGCCGCCCCCCGGGATGCGCTTCGCGGGCTACGCCAAGGGGGCGACGGGCATCGTCTGGGCGCCCGCCGACGGCGGGGGTCGACGCCGCGGCGGCGCCGCCGTCGTCGCGCGCTGGCTCGACGCCGCGCTCGCCGCCGTCGCGGCGCCGTCGGACACGCGCTGCGTGCTGCGCCGCTCGTCGGGCCTCGGCGGCGTCTTCGTCGCGCTCCTGGCCGCGGAGAAGGACTGCGACCGCGACGCGTCCGCGTTGGCGGCGCGCGCGGTCGCCGAGCTCCTGGAGCGATCGGCGTCGCCGCGCGCCGCGGAGTCGCGGCGAGCGATGAACGCGCTCGCGGCGCTCGTCGACCGCTGCCCGCGGGCGCTCAGGAAGCTCGCCCGGCCGCCCCACGCCGCGTTCCTCGCCGTGGTCCTCGCCAAGGCCGACGACGCGGACTGGAACGTGCGGTCCGCCGCGACGCTGGCCTTCGCGTGCGTGTTGCGGCGCTTCCGCGCCGAGGACCGGGCCTTCGAGGACGGCGCGCCCGCCGGGGGCGTCCTCGAGGCCTTCCCGGGCCTCGACGCGGCGCTCGAGCCGACCTACGGCCCGACGGGCACGTTCTTCGCGCTGCGGCTCATGGCGCGCGTCGGCTGGGGGCCGGCGAACGCGCCCCTGCTCGCGCGCGACGCGCTCGGCGACGCCGACGCGCACGTGCGCCCCGCCGCCGCGCTCTGCCTCGCGGCCGTCGCGCCGCGGACGCCGCTCCTCGAGCTGCTCGAGCCCGGGCCCAGTCCGCTCGACCCGAACCGCGCGCACGGCTGCCTCCTGGCCTGCCGCGCGCTCCTCGAGCGCGGCGGGTCGGGCGACGGCGCGGCGCGCTTCGTGCGGCCCGTGCTCGCGCCGGCGCTCTGGTGCCCCGCGGTCCACCTCGAGGCGCACGCGCTCCTCGTCGCGCTCGGCGACGGCGACGCGGCCGCGGCCGCGGAGGCGCGCGCCGCCGCGCTCGCGAGGGAGCGCTTCGCGGAGCGCCGCGTCGACGCGCTCCCGGGCGAGTCGCGCTACGTCGGCGCGCTGCTCGCGGCGCGGACGGCGCGGTCGCTCGCCGCGGGCGACGCCGCGGGCGCGCTGGGGCTACTGGGGGCCGTCGACGACGCGCGCGCCGTCGCGGTGCTCGACGCGGCGACGAAGGCGCTCGCCGGCGCCGCTCGCGACGCGGCCTTCGACGACGACTTCGACGGCGCGGACGCGCGCGCGCCGGCGGCGGCGCGGCTCTTCCGGGACGCGGCCGCGCGGCCCTACGAGGGCGACCTCGCGGCCTTCGAGGCGGCCGCGGCCGCGGAGCTCGCGGCGCTGCCCGCGGGGGCGTCGCCCGCGCGGCGCGTCGCCGCGCTCCGCTTCGCGCTCGCCGTGGCCGGCCGCGGCGGCGCCGTCGCCGTCGACCCCGGCCTCGTCGCCAACGCGTGGCCCGACGACTCGGCGGCGGCGGCGATCCAAATCGCCGCGGCGTCGGACGCCGCGGCGGCGCGCGCCGCGGCCGAGGCCGCGGCCGTCGCCGCCGCGGACCGCCCGGGCCTCCCCCGGCGCGGCGCCGCCCGCGCGCTCGCGCTCCTGGCGCGCCGCGGGCCCGTCTCCGCGGCGGCGGCGGCGGCGGCGGCGGCGCTCGCGGCGGACGACGACCCGGACGTGCGCCGCGCCGCCGCGCGCGCGTTGGGCGACCCGGGCCTGTCGCCGGCCGCGGCGCTCGCGCGCTACCGCCGGGCCCACCCCGAACCCCCCGCGGGGGACCGGCGGGCCGCGGCGGCGCTCGCGCGCGCGGGCGACGACCCGGCGGCGATCCTCGACGAGATGATCGCCCTGGCCCTGGGCGCGCCGCGGGACGACGAGGCCCGCGGGTAATTCGCGTCGAGCCGCGGCCCCCCCGGGCGACGTGCGAGGCGGATCCGCTTTAGGAGATATGCTCCTGGGGCATGGGCGGCGCGTGCTCCTGCTCTCGGAGCGCGGCCTCGGCGGCGTCCATGGGGAGCTCGAGCGCGGGCTGCGGCTCGGCCTCGATGGCGCGGAGCGGCGCCGCGGCGGGCGACCGGACCTCGTAGGGCAGGGACTCCTTCTTGAACTCCGTGAGCACGGGGTACATCTTCTCGAAGGCCGTGCGGAGGTGGCCCAGCGACTTGCCGCCGGTCAGCACCATGCGGCCGGAGACGAAGAGCAGCAATACCGTCTTGGGGATGACCAGCCGGTAAATCAAACCGGGGAAGAGCTCGGGCTCGTAGGACGAGAACTTGGCGTGGGCATAAACCAACGCCTCGAGGCGGATGGGGAAGCCCGCGTCGCTCGTCGCGACCATGTTCTGCACCTTGAACTCGCCGAACTTGGGCTGGAAGCCGATCTTGCGGATGATGGCCGCGAACTTGCGCGCGCCGCGGCGGGCGGCGTCCTCGGACTTGGCGCCCGTGATGACCATCTTGCCCGTCGAGAACACCAAGGCCGTGCACCGCGGCTCGCGGACGCGCATGATGACGGCCGCGAACTTCTTGGGATTGTATTCCGCGTTCCGCGCGTTGAGGGCCAGCGTGCGCAGGTCGATGGAGATGCGCAGGTTCACCGTGGCGACGACGTTCTGCACGTCGATGGTCGCGCCGCTGGGGTGGCTCCAGGGCGCGTCGTCGTCGCCGAAGTCGTTCGCCGCGTTGTACTCCGCCGTCGACGTCGGGGCCGTCGCGCGGGCGATGAGCTCCGTCTCCTCCGCCGTCTCGAGGTGGGCGTCGGCCATGGCTCGCGAGGCGGCGCGGGACCGGGGCGGGCGGGCGTCTGCCCGGGCGCGCAACACGACGCGGCGCGGCTCGACGAGCTGCCTGTTGCGCAGCGTGGTGAGCCGCTTCGCCAATCGGGATGTTGCTCATTCGGCCTTGTCCGGCGCCGCCGAGCTCGCCACCATCGATGGCGTTGGGCGCGCCCTTGGGTGTCGGAGTGGACCGAGCTCCGGCGGATCGATCGCGCCAAAAGTCCCGACTTTTGCGTACGGCATCGCGGCGCTAGAGGGGTCGGCGGGCGGCGGCGCAGGCCCAAAAACTGCCTCATCAGCCAAGCGACGGGAGCCACACTTTGTTTGGGCAGCGATGTTGGTCCGAGCGCTCAAAACAGGGTTGCCGCGCGTCGCCGCCCGCCGGGCGGCGCCCGTCTCGCGCCTCGGCGCCAGGACGTTCGCCGTCGACGAGAAGATCCCGAAGGACATCGACCAGCAGACGGGCCGCCGCATGGCCGAGATCAAATACGAGCTCGAGACCGGGGTGCGTCCCGCCCCGCCCGGCCGCCGCGCGCCCGCGGGTCCGCCGCAACGCATGTTCCTTTAGGGCGACCTCTTCAGCCGCGACCCCATCGTGCCGTCGCCGGACCAGGGCACCAAGGAGAACCCGATCCTCGCGCGTCCCGGCGCGCGGCCTCGATTTCCGCCGCGCGCTTCCCACGCCGCCGCGCCGCAGGTCCCGTCGGGCGAGGACGAGCGCATCGTCGGCTACGAAGACCCCGACGTGCGTGGCGCCTCCCGCCCCGCCCGCCCCGGACGCCCCCGCCGCGCCGCGCTTCCGCCCCTCGTCATTCGCGCGCCCCGCAGGTCGGGCAGCTCGTCTGGTTCGCGCTCGGCAAGGGCCCGATCCACTACGTGCCCGACATCGACTTATATTTCAAATTGCACCCGGTCGGATGAGCGGCGCCGGAGCTCGCGCCGAAGACGAGCGCGGTCCGGCGGACGGACGCCACTCCACGTAGTTTAGCGTAACGCATGGTATGTCGATACATCACAGTGGCTTACAGGGCGTGGAGCGCGCTGGCCACCTCGCCGACGTCGTCCTCCGCGTCGTCCTCGCGGCAGCGGATCGAGCATCGCCCCACCAAAAAGCTCAGCGTCGCCTTCGAGACGGAGAGCGTCGTGGCGAGCACGGCGCCGACGTCGAGCGGCTGCAGGGACGGGGGTGCGCGCCGCCGCATGCCCGCGGTGACCGCCGCGCGCGGGAACGCGTCGCCGCCGTAGAGCTCCGCGAATCGCCGCAAATCCGCCGCGTCGGGCGCCGCGTCCCACGCGAGGAACCGTCCGAGCGTCGGTCGGTCGCCGCGACGCCGCGGTCCGGGCGACGCGCCGCACCCGTCGCGACGGCGGGACCGAGCGGCGTCGAACGGTCCAAAAATTAGCCGAATCCGTCGCGATCGGGCCGAGCGGCCGAGCGCGCCGGTCCCGCGGGTCCGCGAGCACCACGACGCGACGTTCCCGCGCCTCCCGCGCCGAGCCCCTCGCCGCCTCCGATAAAAAGGCCCTCAGCCACCGTTGTGCCCGGACGCCCTCCGGACGGGCTCCGGGAGCCGTGGCCCCGGCGGGCGCACCTTATAGAAATCACGAACGCCGAGCCCCGGAGGTCCAACGTCCAGAAAACCGGCGAAACCGGCGAAATCCCGACGGCCGCGCGCGCGGTCCCGCGAAACCGCGCGCCGCTCGCCGCGATCGCGGCGGATTTCCGCGATTTTTGGACGGATCGACGGCGCTCGGCGCCGTCGTCGCGGCCGGCGCGGCGCGGCGTCGCGCGGCGCGCGGCGTCGCGGCGATCGCCGCGGACGAGCCGGGCGTCCGCGTCGGGCGCCGCGTCCCACGCGAGGAACCGTCCCTTGTCGTGGAACTCGGCGATGGACGTCTGGCCCGCGGCGACGAGCTCCGCGACCGCCGAAGGGCAGCGACTAGGGCAGCGGGCGAGCGCGATGGCGACGTTGCCGCCCGTGGCCTCGACGGCGTCGGCGACGAATTTGTTGTACGAGCCGTTGTCGTCGAGTAGCAACGTGCGCCCGTCGACGGCGTGCACCAGCACCGCGAAGCTAGCGCCGCGGAGGTCGTCACCGGTGCCGCCGGCGACGATGCACTCGTGGCGGACGGTGGTACCGAGGCATGCTGCGAGTTGTTTTGCCAGGTCTGCTGCGACGTCGAGCTCGACGCCGTAGACGCAGACGCTCATTCACGCGGTCCTCTTTTGAGTAGCGAGGCAAAAGGCCGCGTGGTCATCGTCGGCGTCGGGGCGCCGGCTCGTCGATCTGGGCTGACCATCGTGGCCAGATATCGTGGCCTCCATGATGATGAAGCCGATCGTGCTGCGCCCGACGAGCTTCGCAAGATCTGCCGTGGCAAATGGGCCGCAATCTCGTGGCAGCGCTGGCCGCTTTGGCAACCGCGTGGAGCGCCGCGGCGCTCTCGCCCATCGCCGCGAGCGCGCCGGCAAAGGCCGCGCCGGCGCACGCCGCGCGGCCGCTCACCCGGCAACGCTTCGTCGCCGGCGCCGCGAGCCTCGCCGCGGCGCTGCCGCTCGCCGCGCGCGCCGACGACGCCAAGACCACGTCCGTGAAGACGAAGTTCGGCACGGCCGTCGACGGCAAGCCGCTGTCGTCCGCGAAGTTCGACGTGCCCGACAGGTGGGTGCAGCTCAGCGGCGACGTCTCCGGCGGCCGGCAGCTGGTGTTGTACGCGGACCCGGACAACAGCGACACGAACGCCTTCGTGCTCATCACGCCCGTGCGCGGCGACTACACGAGCCTCGGCAGCTTCGGGTCCATCGAGGTCGTCCAGGCCACGGTCATGCCCTTTGGCGACGGCATCGAGTACACCGGGGTCACGTCCGAGGCGTCGACGGGCAAGTACACCTACGACTACGAGGTCTCCGTGCCGAGCCAGCCGAAGCGCCACCTCAAGACCGTCTTCATGGTCGTCTCCGACTGCATCGTCACCTTCAACTTCCAGGCCCTCGCGGCCGACTACACGCCCGACGTCGCCAAGATGGGCGCGGCCATCGTCAAGTCGTTCGGCGTCGGCAAGGCCTAGGGTAAGTTTCCGGCGCGTGTTTACGCCCGCCGCGCCTCGCGGTGCTCGAGGACGTCGCCGATGCCGTGGTGCTCGACGCCGTCCCACGCGTGGTCCTCGTCCGCCCGGTGGTGGGCCCGGACGTGGTGCCGGCCCGCGCCCATGGCCTCGGAGATGGCGTCCGTCGCGGACGTGTCCGGCCGGCGCTTCGCCGCGGCCTCGACGTCGCGGCGGTCCTCCGCGGCGACGCGGTCGCGCGCGACGGCGGCCGGCGCCGCGCGGAGGCACCGCCGCAGCGCGTGGTCGTCGCGGTGCGAGAAGACGACGCAGAACGGCGCGGCGAGCGAGTAGGCGCCGGAGAAGAGCGCGCCCGGCCGCCGCGAGAAGAAGTAGAACCGGCACCAGACGGCCGCCCACGAAGCCACGTAGACGCCGCAGCCCACGAGGCTCCGCCGCACGGTGATGGCGACGATGTCCTCGTCCTCGACGGCGACGCCTTCTCTGAAGGACGTGCGCCGCGCCGAGCCGCGCCGGCGGCTCCGGCGGAACGGCAGCAGGAACAGGAGCGTCGCGACGACGACGATGGCGACGTCCAGCGCGAAGGCCGCCGAAAAAATGGCGACGCGGTCGCTCCGGTCGAAGACGCGATATCCGACCTCGGCGCAGACGAAGACGAAGGCCTGGCTCGCCACGAGCACGTAGAGACAGGGCTCGAGCCACCCGGGCGTCCGCGACGAGAAGAAGACGGGCGCGCATCTCTCGCGCGCGAGGAGCCAGCAGTAGAAGCTCAGCGGCCCGAGGAAGATGGCCGCCAGGATCTCCTCGTCGACGGCGTCGTGCGCGCGCTCGCCGACGGCGCAGTCGAGCGCGAAGTTGAGCCACCCAAAGCCCGCGCCGAAGAGACAAACGGCGCAACTCGCCGCGTGCATGGCCAGCGCCCGCCGCCGGTGCGCCTCCTGGCTCCGCGAGTTCGACGCTGCCGTGCGCCGCGCGTCGAGGCAGGTTTGTATGGCGCGGACGACGCGGAGCACGGCGAGCAGCGACGCAAAAAAGCACATGACGAGCACGACGATGCACTGCCCCCCGACGTGCCACGACTCGTCGCGCTGCCGGAGGCCCGACGGGTCGCGCATGGTTCTGGGCTGCCTCACGCGCCCATATCGTGCTGTCACTTGTGCAACATCGACTTAATCAGGCGCGGAATCGTCGGAGTCGCTCCCCGCCAGGTCGACCTCCTCGATGCTGACGTCGTCGTCGGCGTCGTCGTCGGCGTCGCTCCCCGCCAGGTCGACCTCCTCGATGCCGACGTCGTCGTCGCCGCCGTCGTCGGGGCCGCCGAACAGCAGCAGCGCGCAGTCGCGCTCGCGCCGCGTCAGACTTCCGAGGAGCGCGCCGCCGCCGCGGAGGTTCGCGGCCTCGTCGCCGTAGGGGATCATGGGCCGCATCCACTTGTGCGAGAAGGCCAGGAGCACGTTCACGCGCGCCTCGCCGCTCACGTTGAGCTCGTCGGGCCGCCGGTGCCAGGTCCGCGAGTCGTAGAGCACCGCGGACCCCGCGGGCGCGAGGAACTGCCTCTTGGTCGCGTGCATGGGATCCGACGACCCCGTGGCGCCCCGGTTGAGCTCCGTCGGCCAGCGGTTCCGCCGGTGGGATGCCGGAAAGTACAGCGTCGCGCCGTTGTCGCTCCGGAACTCGTCGACGCAGAGGTTGAACTGCAGCGACACGGGCCGCGCGGGCCACCGTTCCGTGAATTTCTCGTGGTAGGGGTAGTCGCAGTGCCACCTACGACATGCGTCGGTGGCGACGCTTCGTCGTTTTCCCCGTCGCGATCTCTCGAAATTCGTCGCGGCCGCGGGACGCCGAGCGCCACATCTGCCCCCCAAAGGCCGCGCCGATGAGCGCCTTCGCCGGCAGGAGCGTGTTGGCGACGGGCGCGTGGAGGCAGCGCAGGTGCGCCAGCGGCTCGCCGAGGTAGGCCTCCGCGACGGCGAGGACGACGGGATGCGTCGCCGCCGATATAAAGTCGCCGTCGCCGAGCCAGCCCTGGTCCCAGCGGTAGCCGTCGTGGGTCGCGCCGGGCTCCGCCTCGCGCCGCCGCGCGACGGCGCGGCGCATGCGCGCGACGCGCGCCGCGTCGACGGCGCCTTCGAGCACGCACGCGCCCGCGGCCTCGAGCTCCGCGAGAATCGACGACGGCCGCTTCGCGACGCGCCCGGCGCGGTGCGCGCCCAGCGCGACGTTCGCGTCCGTCGTGACGCGCACCGCGTCGCCGTCGCGCGCGACGGCGACGGCGCAGTCGCCCTGCGTCAGGCCGCCGGCGCCGTCGAAGACCCAGACGGCAGCGTCGCGCACGAGCCGCTCGTAGCTGAAACTGTTGGCGAGGTGGAGGCCGGTTGACATGTTCTCGAGGAACCAGAGGCTGCCGGCGGCGCCGTCGAGGGCTGCATTGCTGGGGGCTGCCGCTACTACCGAGGCAGCCTCGATGGCGGCCATCGTGTCCAGCGGCACCTTCGGCGCGTGCCCCGGAAACTCGAGACCTTTCCCTTTCAAGCGGAGCTCTCACGCAACTGCGTCCCGCGCCACCGTGCGCGACGCGCCACCGCGCGCTGCGTCACTCCGATGGCGGACTGGACCGCAGCCCACGACGACGACGCCGACGCCGCGGAGGTCGCCGCGCTCTCGGCGAAGTGGCGCGCGTTCGCCAAGCCGACGGCCGCCTTCTCCCTCGCGGCCGTGCGCGCCGACGACAGCGACGACGGCGACGCGCCGCCGGCCGTCTTCTCGCTCGCGGCCCTGCGCGACGGCGGCGACGCCGACACCGACGACGACGCGCCGGCGCCGGCCGTGAGCCCGTCGACGCGCGCGGGCAGTAGCGGTAGCGGCGCGGGTCCCGACGCGCCCAAGTGGGCCTGCGACGCGTGCACGTTTCTCAACCTGCCGTCGGACGCCGTCTGCGACGTCTGCGACGCGCCGCGGCCCGGCGCGCCGCCGCCGCCGCCGCCGCCGCGCGCCGAGGAGGCCGAGACGCAGGCGTTCCCCGGCGCGGCCGACGAGTTCCCCGGCGCGGCCGACGAGCCCTGGGTCTCGCAGGAGCCCGACGCGCAGGGCTCCTACGGGGAGGCGGGGAGCGAGGCGCCGCCCGACGACGACCGCGGCGACGACGTCTGCGCGACGTGCGGCGGGTCGACGCTCCTGCCCGACGGCCGGCCCGTGCGCGACGTCCTCGTCTGCGAGACCTGCGACGGCGAGGTCCACTTTGGCTGCTCGGGCCTCGCGCGCATGCCCCGCGACGACGAGCCCTTCGCCTGCGCCGACTGCGCGCCCGCGGCGCGGCGGCCCGAGCGCAAGCGGCGGCGCATCGTCGACGACGACGAGGGCCTCTTCGACGACGACGACGACGACGGCGGCGGCCGGCCGTCCTTCGGCGCGGACGAGGCGCCGGCGCCGCGCCGCGCGCCGGCG